TAGGCCCTGTCCACACGAAGTCAAGCTCAGGCCTAAACGCAAAAATACTTTATCAATCCAGTGTATGGTCCATACGAGGCCGGCGTTTTGGGGGGGTGTAAACGAACATTTTTGAAAGTAGGTCCCAGAGTGGAAAGATTTCAAAACTCCGTATATGCCGCTCCGTGGTTACTGCCTCTCCGCAGTGTATCTGAGACGCTTGCGTCATCGCCCCGCCTCTTGTTAAAGCAGCATGCGCCGCACTCAGAAAATAATGACAACAACAATGTAGCTTGTTGGTTTTGTAATCCAGTGTGACCCGAAGCAACAGTTCAACCTCATCGTCCGTCCATACTAATGTAGTACCAGCTCGCCCACTCGCCATGTTGTCTGTTTACAAAATTCTGCGCATGCCCAGTTCCCGTCACGGAAGTTTGGGCTTGATCCCGTCATTGCGTCACAGCGCCACCAACAGGTCTGGCATAGTTTCACAGCGTTTTCAGGCGTATTGACTACATTCATATGGACGCACACATTTACTGAGCTAACTCCGTGTTTACAGAAAAAGTTTCTGAAATTATAAGCGTTTTGTCTTCGTGTGGATATAGCCTTAGTTTCAACAGACTATTTCAGAAGATACCAGTCAAGGAGCCACATTCAATGTCAAAGACATAACATGGTCTAGAAAAGAAATCCATATTTTTGAAAATTCAGAGAGAGTGCCTTTGAGGGAGTGCCTAATTTTCTCCAGTTTCATGAATGAAAGAGCGTCCTTAATCCACAGAGAATGAGTTGGTGGGTGAGGGTCCTTCCAATGCATCAAAATACAGCGCCTAGCCAACAGTGTTAGAAAGGCCACAAGACGTTCACAGTAGGGTTGTAAGGTGTGGTCGGGAGGCAGTGTGCCAAAGAGGGCTGTCAATGGGGACCTCTGAACTCTGGCATTACAAATAAAGGACAGGGAATCAAAAACAGTGTCCCAGTATGTAGTCAGTGAAGGACAGGTCAAGAACATATGAGAAAGATTTGCTGGGCTTAAATGGCATCTCACACACTTATCATCAGAGCCTGGAAAGACTCGAGCCAGTCTACTCTTCGACCAATGGACCCTGTGGACCACTTTGCATTGAATGATACAGTGTTGCGCACAAATAGATGAAGAATGAACACGTTTAAGAGCAAGACCCCACTGTTCATCATTAATCTCCACTACAAGTTCCTCAGACCATGCTACTCGCAGATTGCTTGATGAAACATTAAGTAAAGAAAACAAAAGACTATATATTTTAGAAATTGTACCTTTTGCTGAAGGCTTGAGTGTCATAAGTGCATCAATTGTGGTGGTATTGGGAATGATAGGAGCACTTGAAAAATGTTTACTAATAAAATGTCGGGCCTGTAGGAAGCGGAAAAAGTGGGTATTTGGCAGGTTAAATTTGGAAGACAACTGGGCAATGGATGCCAGAATACCCTCTATGTAAACTTCTCTAACTGAGGCGAGTCCCTGGTTTCTCCATATGGTAAAGGTTCCATCAGTCAGCGATGGAGGAAACAGGGGAAGCGGGGAGAGAAGAGGGATTCCCTGAATAAAGAAATGTTCTTTAAATTGGTTCCAAATTTTAAGGCTGTTTTTCACTATAAAATTATCAGAGTATGATGTAAGTGATGATTTAAGAGGGAGACACAGGAGAGAAAACAAAGAGCCAGAGTGACAAGAGGCACCACCGACAGCCAGAGTGGTTTATCATTGCTGTTGCTGCACCAAAATAGCATTGTGCGTATATTTACAGCCCAGTAGTACAGCAGAACATTTGGTAAGGCAAGTCCTCCCTCCTCTTTGCCCTTTTGTAGCACGATTTTGCGCAGTTTGGGGGGTTTCCCGCCCCACAAAAATTGTGATAAAGTATTGTCAAGGGTCTGAAAGAATTTCTTGGGTATAAACACAGGTAAACTTTGGAAAAGGTAAAGGAACCTGGGCAGAACGTTCATCTTAATGCAACCAATTCTTCCTGCAAGAGAGAGTGGTAAGGTCGACCAACGTTCTAGATCTTTGGCCAGCTGATCAAGCAGTGGATTAAAATTTAAACAGAATAGATCTGAAAAGTTATAGGTTACATTAATCCCCAGGTATTTAATGCAATCCAGAGACATTTTAAATGGTAAATTTGAAAATTTGTGTTTAGTGGCCACAGAGTTAACTGGGAGAGGTCCGCTTTTATTGAGATTCAGCTTATACCCTGAGATCTGTCCAAATTCCTTCAATAAAGTCAAAATTGGAGGCATAGAAACATCAGGGTCCGACACAAAAAGCAGGAGATCATCAGCGTATAACGATACTTTGTGAACCCTGTCTTCCCTCAAGATGCCCCGCATTGAACTGGATCTAATGGCTGCGGCAAGTGGCTCTATGGCAATCGCAAAAAGAAGGGGAGACAGGGGGCACCCTTGACGGGTACCGCGGCCCAATGAAAAGTATTCGGAGTAATCGTTATTCGTGCGGACACGTGCCATAGGCAAGGTATAAAGTAATTGAATCCAAGATATGAATTTACTGCTGAATCCAAAACGTTTCAGGGTGTAAAATAAGAAAGGCCACTCCACCCGGTCAAATGCCTTTTCGGCATCCATGGAAATGACAATTTCAGGCACATGAGATGACGAGGGGGAGTGCAAGATATTCATAAGGCGCCTTATGTTATGATAAGATTGCCTGGACTTAATAAAGCCTGTCTGATCCGGGCTGATTAATTTGGGCATTATCGAGTCCAGACGTTTTGCAAGCATTTTGGCTAAAATTTTTACATCTGTGCCCAACAACGAGATGAGGCTTTTAGCTGAGGCTCTCAGCTAAAATTGGGTCAAGTGTTGGAATGGTAAGGCTTGAAAAGAAATGTTCATAACAGTCATTATCAGGCGGACATTCAGTTGTATACAGAGAGGAGTAGAAATCCCGAAATTGGTCGTTAACAGTTTGGGGATTAATTGTCAGTACATCCGAAGCAAAGATTTCAGTGATGTGCTGCGCAGCTGCTGATTGGCGAATCTGATGAGACAGCACTTTGCTGGGCTTTTCACCAAACTCGTAGTAGTTGAACCGGGTCTTAGTTATAGATTTAACTGCCTCTTCCGTGGCCAATGAATCAAATTCAGCCTTTTTTACTAACAGTTCCTTAGACAAATCCGCCGAAGGTGAATCTGCACACCTTGACAGCTTGGCTTCTTTGAGAGGCCACCTTGTTTTTATAGGCTGTGTAAGAAATTATTTCACCCCGCAAGAAGGCCTTACAAGCTTCCCATGTGACACTTGCAGAGATGTCTGGTGTAACATTTGTAGAAATAAAAAGGTCAATTCGGTCGCTTATAGTTTCAACAAATTCTGCATCATCAAGCAAGAGAGAGTTAAAACGCCATGGAGATCGGGAAAGAGTGTTCCCTGGAAAAGATATGTCTAGTGTAATGGGAGCGTGGTCCGCGATTACAATTGGTGTACATACACAATATTTCACCATAGGAAGCAAACTATTTTCCAGCAGGAAAAAATCTATTCTTGAAAATGTACCGTGGACTGGTGAGAAAAAAGAATACTGTTGGGCACTAGGGTTGAAATACCGCCAGACATCAGAGAAACCATACTGCTGCATAAATAGTTCTATTGTTTTTGCGGATTTTGATGCAGAGTATGGTTTATTTGAGGAACGGTCAAGAGACCCAAGACAGCAGTTAAAATCACCCGAAATAATAAACTGTCTACTGTTCAAGTCAGGGAGATTAAAATACAATTTCTTGAAGAAATCTTCACAATCAAAATTTGGTCCATATATGTTCACAAGAGCAAGATTATTTCCAGATATTTTTCCTAAAACTATAATATAACGGCCATTAGGGTCTGAAATCACATCAGTCACTGATAATGGGACAGCAACACCACGTGCTCTACTATTGAAAGAGGAATGGTAAAGCTGTCCTACCCAGCCAAATCGAATTTTAAGTTGATCAGCGACTGACAAATGGGTTTCTTGCAAAAAGGCAATTCTTGTGTTTAATTGTTTCAGGTGATTAATAACTTTTTTCCTCTTAATTGGAGAGTTTAATCCTTTGACATTCCAACCAACCAGTCTTAAGGCACCACCTAGCGGCCTAGAGATATTACTATTCAACATACAGAGTTAGAGTTAGTTTCCAATTGTTGTGGCTGATACATAATTCGTAATTGTCAAAGAGAGTAGCACTTGTAGAAAAGAAAAACACAAGAGGAAAAAAGGAGGAGGTGGAGGGTAATAAAAAAGAAACAAAAAAAACTGTCACAAAAGGTGACAGCCAAGCCTCTGATCTAGTAATCAGCATTTTGTAAAACTTCCTAATCCCTAACACTCTGCGACCGCACCAGGAAAGAACAATAAACACCAAGTCTTCATTATCATCCAATTTGGTAGCAAGCTTTCTGTAGCAACTCAACAACGCTAAGTAACCTGAATGAAAAACAAATAAAAATAAAAAATAAATGAATACCCATAACTTGGTCAACCATTTTCGGTTCCTTTACTTTTAAAAAAAAAAAAGAGAGAGAAACAATAAAAAATAAAAACATTTCCTACATGAGCAAATTTGGCAAGTGGCATTGTCATCCATCCATCCATCCATCCATGTTCTACCCTTTAATCCATTTCTGGGTCAGGGGGGTGGCAGTCAGAGATGCCACCCAAGTCTCATAGCACCAGCCCCTCACTGACCCTCTGCAGGTGGTGAGTCCACAGGAGGACGGCTGCTCTCTGAGTGTGAGCATAGCCTTGATCTTTCAGTGGGGGCTTTGGGCAAAGTGGGGTTAAGTGTCTTGCCCAAGGACACAACGACAGCAGTCATCAGTGGGAGTCGGTGGAGAAGGTGTAGAGGTGGGAATTGAACCCACGACCTTCAGGCCTGAAGGCCAATGCTCTACCAACTGAGCTACTGTCGCCCCAGTGGCATTGTCATTATAAAGGAAATAATGCAAGTTACTAGTAGGAAATATTTACCACAGACGTTTAGGAGTCATTGTCCAAGTCCTGAACAAACTTTTCCGCTGCTGGAGCTGATGTGAGCCACTTCCTCTCCCCGTTTGGCATCATGATGCGCAGCTTGGCTGGAAAGAGCAGCGCCGGGCGGTATCGTCGCTTATACAGCTCGGCCATGGCAGTGCGGTACTCGCTGCGCAGCTTCAACACGTCCGGGCTGTAGTCTTTGTAGAGCAGGGGTCCTCTTCTATGGGCCTCACGGATGATCAGGTCTTTCACTTGGAGGCGGATGATCACAGGACGGGGTCTGGCTCCTGGAGCGGGCTTTGGAGCGAGGGGCCGATGGGCTCGGTCAATCTCCGGGGACGTGGAGAGAGTGTTCTGCCCAAATACATCAACCAGGAGCTGGGAGAAGAAAACGGTTGGGCGTGTGTCCTCCAGATTAAGCCCACCACGCGAATGTTTTGACGTCTGCTGTGACTCTCGAGGACCGCCACTCTCTCTCTGAGGGAATCATTTTCTTTTTGTAACGCGCACCAGTTGTTTTCAATGTGTGTGAGGCGGCTATCAACCGAGTTTGCGTTGTCCTCCAGTGAAGTGATACGTGTGCCTTGATCCTTAACTGCAGCCTCTACGCCGTCCAGTTTTGAAGCGAGGGTCTGGAAAGATGACTTAAAATCTGACGAAATGGCTTCTCTACGCTCCTCGAGTAGCGCCGTGATGTCTTTCGAAGTTAAGCTAGCGCTAGCGGGTTCTTTCTCAGGTTTTCCTTTGAGTTTAGACATTGTAACTTGTTTTTAGCGTCTATGGTTGCATAAAAGGCAGTTACAACCCAAAAAGCTGCAACAAAATGGGGTTGCGGTGTCAAAAAGGTTAAAAATGAAAAGTATAGTGCGGGGGCAGACTAAACGTGCGCCTATTCCTCGGCCGCCATAACCGGAAGTTCCTGGTGTGGGCTAGTTTGGACTGGTGTAGGCTGGTTTGGACTGGGTTGGACTGGTTTGGGCTGGTTTGGACTGGTGTAGGCTGGTTTGGGCTGGTGTAGGCTGGTTTGGGCTGGGTTGGACTGGTTTGGGCTGGTTTGGACTGGTGTAGGCTGGTTTGGACTGGTGTAGGCTGGTTTGGGCTGGTGTAGGCTGGTTTGGACTGGTGTAGGCTGGTTTGGACTGGTGTAGGCTGGTTTGGACTGGTGTAGGCTGGTTTGGACTGGTTTGGACTGGTTTGGGCTGGTGTAGGCTGGTTTGGACTGGTGTAGGCTGGTGTAGGCTGGTTTGGACTGGTTTGGGCTGGTTTGGACTGGTGTAGGCTGGTTTGGGCTGGTGTGGGCTGGTTTGGACTGGTGTAGGCTGGTGTAGGCTGGTTTGGGCTGGTGTGGGCTGGTTTGGACTGGTGTAGGCTGGTTTGGACTGGTGTAGGCTGGTGTAGGCTGGTTTGGACTGGTGTAGGCTGGTTTGGACTGGTGTAGGCTGGTTTGGACTGGTGTAGGCTGGTTTGGACTGGTGTAGGCTGGTTTGGGCTGGTTTGGGCTGGTGTAGGCTGGTTTGGACTGGTTTGGACTGGTTTGGGCTGCTGTAGGCTGGTTTGGACTGGTGTAGGCTGGTTTGGACTGGTGTAGGCTGGTTTGGACTGGTGTAGGCTGGTTTGGACTGGTGTAGGCTGGTTTGGACTGGTTTGGACTGGTGTGGGCTGGTTTGGACTGGTGTAGGCTGGTTTGGACTGGTGTAGGCTGGTTTGGGCTGGTTTGGACTGGTGTAGGCTGGTTTGGGCTGGTTTGGGCTGGTGTAGGCTGGTTTGGGCTGGTTTGGACTGGTTTGGGCTGGTGTGGGCTGGTTTGGACTGGTGTAGGCTGGTTTGGACTGGTTTGGGCTGGTTTGGACTGGTGTAGGCTGGTTTGGACTGGTGTAGGCTGGTGTAGGCTGGTTTGGACTGGTGTAGGCTGGTGTAGGCTGGTTTGGACTGGTGTAGGCTGGTTTGGACTGGTGTAGGCTGGTTTGGACTGGTGTAGGCTGGTTTGGACTGGTGTAGGCTGGTTTGGACTGGTGTAGGTAAGTAGTAAGTAATCTTTATTTATATACCGCCTTTTCACTGCAGATCAGAGTCTCAAAGCGGTTTACAATTGTTATTTTTGGGCATTTGTCTCTCACTCCACACAGAGATGGGAGCGGGGTCGCCAGTACAGGAGGCGCATGCCTGAACTATTGGACATATTTTTAGTGGTAGGGGAAACCGGAGTACCCGGAGGAAACCTACGCAGACACGGGGAGAACATGCAAACTCCATTCAGAAAGGCCCTGGTCCGACCGGGATTCGAACCCAGGACCTTCTTGCTGAGAGGCGAGAGTGCTATCCACTCAGCCACCGTGCCGGGTTCGAGAAACAGTGTTTTCCGCCTGGACCTCCGCGCCTGGGTGGGGGGTGTGAGGAACAAGCCCCAGCACCCCCCAGGCGGGGGACAGACGTCTCTGGGCATCCGGGAGAGACAGGGCGTCTCGGTCTCGCCACCCACAGGTCCGGCGAGAGCCCCCAGCCCGCGCTGGGAGCCTGCCGAGTAGCGTCAGGCATGCAGTGTGCACCATTCGAACGGCCTCGTAGAGACGAATCCGCAGATACCACATGTGTCTATGTTTCTGTTCATCGACCAACACCCTCTCTATATTCCCCATATAGGTCCCTTGGAGAAAGTGGTTCGACCTCGCCTTTTTGGGACGCAGCGTGAGGATTTTTTCGTCAGCCCGGGAGTCCCGGGCTGAATTTTCAAACCACTCTAGAACCGGCCCCCGGTGTCGGACCGACACGCTCGAGGTGTCCACGGACTCGTCTCGACCTGGGCTACGACCCCTGTGAGTTTCACGCACGGGGGACAAGAGACGGGAATGTTACATCGGTCTGAAATCAGCGGGGGACAGCGCGGCCGCGTCCGCTCATGAGCGCCTATTCTCGGTCAAGAAAAGGGGGGTTTCCCGGGCCCGTAGAAGGCGAACCAGGGGGGCTAGAGACATGGGACTTGGACCCACGGACTCGTCTGGACCTGGGCTACATCCTGCGCGATTTTCACTCATGGGAAATGAAAGACAAAAAAGTTACGGCCTGCGTAAAGGGGACTTGAGCTCACAAGACACTTTGTCATTTTTTCTCAAAAGCGTGCGTCTGGGACTACAGAATCTTCAGAAATTGGTTAAAAATCAACGCAGAGGCCCAGAGACTCGTGGTCTGGACCCAGGGACTTGTCTCGACCATGGGCTACCACCGGGGCGGGCTTTGCTCCCGCTCAGATCTGGGCCTGGGCGCCCATTCCCGGGGGAAGAAAGCCCCGCTTTCCGGGCTCCTCAAAGCCGAGCCAGGGGGGCTACAGACACGGGGGTGGGACCCGGGGACTCCCCTGGTCCCGGGCTACCCGCGGTGTGAATTTGACGCGCAGGGGACAAAGGACCAGAAAGTTATGGCCCTTGGAAACCACCGGGGGACCGCGCGTCTGCCATCCGCCCAAGAGCGCTCATTCTGGGGGAGGAGAACCTCGGCTTCCAGGGCTCGTAGAAAACGAACCATAAGGGCTAGAGACACGGGGTTTTCACCCACGCACTCCTCCGGTCCTGGGCTACCACCGGGGCAGGCTTTGCTCCCGCTCAGATCCGGGCCTGGGCGCTCATTCCCGGGGGAAGAAAGCCCCGCTTTCCGGGCTCCTCAAAGCCGAGCCAGGGGGGCTACAGACACGGGGGTGGGACCCGGGGACTCCCCTGGTCCCGGGCTACCCGTGGTGTGAATTTGACACGCGGGGGAAAAAGGACCAGAAAGTTATGGCCCTTGGAAACCACCGGGGGACCATGGGGGTTAAGGTTAGGCGTGGGGAAGGCCTGGATCTCCATGGGGGTTAAGGTTAGGTGTGGGGAAGGCCTGGTTCTCCAGGGGGGCTATGTGCAGGTGTGGGGGCGGCCGGGATCTCCATGGGGGTTAAGGTTAGGTGTGGGGAAGGCCTGGTTCTCCAGGGGGGCTATGTGCAGGTGTGGGGGCGGCCTGGATCTCCATGGGGGTTAAGGTTAGGTGTGGGGAAGGCCTGGTTCTCCAGGGGGGCTATGTGCAGGTGTGGGGGCGGCCTGGATCTCCATGGGGGTTAAGGTTAGGTGTGGGGAAGGCCTGGTTCTCCAGGGGGGCTATGTGCAGGTGTGGGGGCGGCCTGGATCTCCATGGGGGTTAAGGTTAGGTGTGGGGAAGGCCTGGTTCTCCAGGGGGGCTATGTGCAGGTGTGGGGGCGGCCTGGATCTCCATGGGGGTTAAGGTTAGGTGTGGGGAAGGCCTGGACCTCCAGGGGGGCTATGTGCAGGTGTGGGGGCGGCCTGGATCTCCATGGGGGTTAAGGTTAGGTGTGGGGAGGGCCTGGATCTCCATGGGGGTTAAGGTTAGGTGTGGGGAAGGCCTGGATCTCCATGGGGGTTAAGGTTAGGCGTGGGGAAGGCCTGGACCTCCAAGGGGGCTATGTGCAGGCGTGGGGGGCGGCCTGGATCTCCATGGGGGTTAAGGTTAGGTGTGGGGAAGGCCTGGATCTCCATGGGGGTTAAGGTTAGGTGTGGGGAAGGCCTGGACCTCCAGGGGGGCTATGTGCAGGCGTGGGGGGCGGCCTGGATCTCTATGGGGTTTAAGGTTAGGTGTGGGGAAGGCCTGGTTCTCCAGGGGGGCTATGTGCAGGCGTGGGGGCGGCCTGGACCTCCATGGGGGTTAAGGTTAGGTGTGGGGAGGGCCTGGACCTCCAGGGGGGCTATGTGCAGGCGTGGGTGCCGCCTGGATCTCCGTGGGGGTTAAGGTTAGGTGTGGGGAAGGCCTGGATCTCCATGGGGGTTAAGGTTAGGTGTGGGGAAGCCCTGGACCTCCAGGGGGGCTATGTGCAGGTGTGGGGGCGGCCTGGATCTCCATGAGGGTTAAGGTTAGGTGTGGGGAAGCCCTGGTTCTCCAGGGGGGCTATGTGCAGGCGTGGGGGCGGCTTGGATCTCCATGGGGGTTAAGGTTAGGTGTGGGGGCGGCCTGGATCTCCATGAGGGTTAAGGTTAGGTGTGGGGAAGGCCTGGACCTCCAGGGGGGCTATGTGCAGGCGTGGGGGCGGCTTGGATCTCCGTGGGGGTTAAGGTTAGGTGTGGGGAAGGCCTGGATCTCCATGGGGGTTAAGGTTAGGTGTGGGGAAGGCCTGGACCTCCAGGGGGGCTATGTGCAGGCGTGGGGGGCGGCCTGGATCTCCATGGGGGTTAAGGTTAGGTGTGGGGAAGGCCTGGACCTCCAGGGGGGCTATGTGCAGGCGTGGGGGGCGGCCTGGATCTCCATGGGGGTTAAGGTTAGGTGTGGGGGCGGCCTGGATCTCCATGGGGGTTAAGGTTAGGTGTGGGGAAGGCCTGGACCTCCAGGGGGGCTATGTGCAGGCGTGGGGGCGGCTTGGATCTCCATGGGGGTTAAGGTTAGGTGTGGGGAGGGCCTGGACCTCCAGGGGGGCTATGTGCAGGCGTGGGTGCCGCCTGGATCTCCGTGGGGGTTAAGGTTAGGTGTGGGGAAGGCCTGGATCTCCATGGGGGCTATGTGCAGGCGTGGGGGCGGCCTGGATCTCCGTGGGGGTTAAGGTTAGGTGTGGGGAAGGCCTGGACCTCCAGGGGGGCTATGTGCAGGCGTGGGTGCCGCCTGGATCTCCGTGGGGGTTAAGGTTAGGTGTGGGGAAGGCCTGGACCTCCAGGGGGGCTATGTGCAGGCGTGGGGGCGGCCTGGATCTCCGTGGGGAAGCCCAGGACCTCCAGGGGGGCTATGTGCAGGCGTGGGGGTGGCCTGGATCTCCGTGGGGGTTAAGGTTAGGTGTGGGGAAGGCCTGGATCTCCGTGGGGGTTAAGGTTAGGTGTGGGGAAGCCCAGGACCTCCAGGGGGGCTATGTGCAGGCGTGGGGGCGGCCTGGATCTCCGTGGGGGTTAAGGTTAGGTGTGGGGAAGCCCAGGACCTCCAGGGGGGCTATGTGCAGGCGTGGGGGCGGCCTGGATCTCCGTGGGGGTTAAGGTTAGGTGTGGGGAAGCCCAGGACCTCCAGGGGGGCTATGTGCAGGCGTGGGGGCGGCCTGGATCTCCGTGGGGGTTAAGGTTAGGTGTGGGGAAGCCCAGGACCTCCATGGGGGCTATGTGCAGGCGTGGGGGCGGCCTGGATCTCCAGGGGGGCTCTGTGCAGGCTGCTGCCCGACCACAGCACCCCACACCCCCGCAGGCGCACCTCCAGGGACCGCCGGGGCCAGGGAAGACCTGTGCACCAGTCGGAACCGGGTACCCACGATTAAGCCCCCCCTCGGACTGCACACCCTTAAGCGCTGCTGGAAAAACCAGGCGTGCCTGGGACTACAAACAGAACAAAACGTGCCTAGTACTACAAGCTAGACACTTAGTCTGATTTTCAACGTGTGCCTGGTCCTACAGCCTAAACACTTAGGTTTTTTTCTCAAAACACTTAGTCTGATTTCCGAGGACCCCGCCACTTCAGGAGCTGCCCTTGGCTCTATTTAAGCCCGGGTTCTTGCTCTTTCGCGGTGAGACCCGTGGTATGTACCCCCTGGAACGCCGGTTAGACAGTGTGGTTCTCCCATCCCTATACAAGCGTAATTTTAACCCGGGCCCTCTCGGGAAGTCATTTATTTCTGCACACCCACACATACACGTTTTTGTTACCTGGTGGGTCCCTTTGACAGGGCCGTTCAGAATGGGACCCATAGACATAATCTTTTTTTACCAAGACTTTAAGTAATACAAAACAGTCAATAGAAACCAAACAACTATTTTAAAGGAATTTTATTTTAGATTTTGTTTTCGAATTGCAGTGATTCTATTTTTGACATAGAATTTAATGCCACTCCATGTCCGATGTCTAAGGTCATCTGGTGAGGCATTAATGCAGGCCAGGCAGTGAGACTTCCCAGGGACCTTTCCAGTCTGTATGAAAGGTGTCATGGTCTTCTCCACAGCCTTCACCTCAGATGCAGACCATGGCTTTCTCTAACGTTCTAGGGAGAGAAATAAAAATATATTAGCAATATACACTCCCAGGGTGAGGACCAAGCAGCCTGGCTGTAATCCCCCACCTGGTACACTTACCAGAAGGGGCACTGCCACTACCATGGGGTGCATCTGGATGAATGGTTGAAGGTTCTCCGCTTGAAGTTTCTTTTAGCCCGTCCGTTTGTGAGAGGATCTCTACTGCTCTCCCTGTCGCACAGAAAATAAAAATACAAGTGGCCTTTAGGGGAAAAAAATCATACATATTTTAATAATATCAAGAATTACCTTCAGGCTCAATTTGTATCTGGTCGAGGCTCTTTCCTTTGAATTCCGTCACTCTTCCCTGCTCCATGGCCATCAACACTTTGCTGATTTTGGCCAGCTCCAGTGTCCCCTCTGGTAGTCTGTAATATTGCCTGTGGATGTGAATGTCATGGCCGAGGAAGTTGGCAAGTATGTCCATCTCATTCTCTTTCATATTGAGAACTGTAGACATAGTAGCTATGTGCTTTCTAAGTTTGGTTGAGGATAGCATCTCTGGATGCACCGCACCACATTCTTTGGCTACCTGGCGTAGGGAGTCTGATCCCCTGATGTGGGTGTCTGCGCCCGGGCGGGAGAAGAAGTATGGGTTATGGTCAGAGATGGAACAGGCCCTTCTGTTCTCCACCAGCACCTCCATCCAAGCAATCATTTCAGGAGTCAAAAGAACCGGCACTTTCCCACTTCTTTTCCCTTTCATTTCAATGCGTTGAAAATGCTGACACAGCTTTTTCTCAAGTTGGGACAGTCCCAGAGCAATGTCAGAATGGATCCCAGTCTTACTTCTTAAGGTAAAGGCTGTCAGTGGCATCTTTGAAACCTCACCTTCCCTTCTTCGATTGAAAATGATGACCTCACAAAGAGTCAAAACTGCCAGTTTAGACCAATGCTTAGACGTTGGCTCACTTATTAGGGTTTGCACATATTCAGGTCGACATACCTCAATATGTGCATGCATGGCTCTAACGTCCTCAGTCAGAGGGAGCAGGTCCGGAGTGTTCCACTTGGCTTGCCGGAGGGTCTGTAGGGCAGCAGAAGAAACACAGACGTCCCACCTCTTCTCAAAAAGCAGCCGGCTTCGTTGGAGGTTTTTAATAAATAGTTCATCAACACAATGCTCCATTTTTGAGTCACATTCAAGAATATCTGCTTTCTGAGGCTATGACCGAGTTTGAGGGCCAAGGATGGAGTCTTGTATTGATTTGTTTCCTCATCATATCCAGCCACAGACCTGACTGCATCAATCACATGGTTAAAGTTGGAAGGAATAAAGAAATCCTTCATTGTTTTCAGTTTCCCTGCGGTTTTTGCTTCGTTAATTAACCTACCGACTTCTCTCATTTTCTGCCTAATGTAATCATGCTTAGTCTTATCATGCCCGTGTTTTAAGTACAGGTGCTCTCCGAGTCTCAGAATCCCCTTTTCTGCTTTGACAACACCCGTGACCTCATCCTGATGCATTGCCGAAATTAAAGACCACAGCTTTTTGCTGATGCCCTCCGGTACAGGCTGGGCTAGGGAGCAGAGGGACTGGACCCTACTTCTACCTGGTTTAGCCTGGTTTAGCCTGGTTTAGCCTGGGCATCTTTCTGTGAAAGCCGGCACCTGGCCACATGCCTCCACAGCGACTTTCGCTTAAGCAATGCCCCACAGTCTATACAGTGCAAAAACTCACTGGATTTAACTGGGGAATTTGGCTGTTTAGCTGGGACTAAAGTTCCAATGCCGGCCTTTAAAACCTCAACATTGTGCTCACGGTTTCCACTATTCCTGATCAAATCAAAGTGAAGTTTACGTGCTTTAGATTTCACAGGTAGAGCCAATGCTCTGGCTACGTCACTTTCATTTCCATGTTTTCTAGTCAAATGACGGGACATTTTGTGGCAGGACATTGAACAGTAGAGGCAGAAGTGTCTCTTGCTGTATACTCGCCCCCATTTTTCTTCTTTTGCAGCTGCATGATAACAATCTTATTTGCCTTTGGTTCGTCACTTTCCGAGTCTTGAAGAAAAGTGTTTTTGATTTTTCTTTTTCCATACTTTTTTACAGGTTTCTTCTTGACAGTTAAATCGTCAGAATCTGAGTCGACTTCATCAATTAGGGACTCTTGACTAAGCTGCACAAACAACAAATAATTTGTAATCATTCTATATAACAATTTGAAGTCATGACTTGTAGTCAGCACTTACCAGTGGTTTGTAAGCGTGCGCTTCAGTGTGCTCCTCCATGATTTCTTGCAGCCTAATGAACCACACACTTGCACCTTTTTCTAGCCTGACACCTGATTTCCTCTGTTGTGCTGCTCTGTGATTGGCTCCAGCCTCTGTTGTGCTGCTCCATGATTGGCTCCAGCCTGCTGGACTGAAATTGCCCCAGTGTGCCCCTCCTTGATATCCCGCAACCCACCACCAGGGTTCCGACACATAACACACTTTTTTCAGGAAAGTAAACCTCCAGGGGTCCTTTCCATATTTTTACAGAGACTGCATAAGGACCGTTAGAAAAGCATTACCCATTGATTATTAAGCTTGGACCAGTGGGGTCCGGTGTTCGGGCCCCACCACGTAAAACCAGTCCCCATGACGTGAGTGGAATCTCAGGTTATGGAACCCACCAGGAGTTGAAAACAAGTGCACACACACACAGACACACACACACAGACACACACACACACAGACACACGCACACACAGACACACACACAGACACACACACACATCCAGACACACACACACACAGACACACACACACACACACACAGGCACACACACACACACACACACACACACACACACACACACACCTGTCAAGATTGTGGCCATAGTAGAGTAGAGCTAAAGTCTAGCCTAGCTCCTGGCCCTAACCTTAACCATAGAGGGGAACAGCCCTAAACTTAACCAGTCACAGGAAACATAAATTGGAAACTAAATTAGTTCATTGGTTACTCAACAAGAGTGGGGGGGCGGAGCCTGTACACCATATAAGAGAGGACACCGAACAGAGTGCCTCCAGTCAGTGTAGAACTCGCCTGAAGAAGACACAAGAAGCTGTCGAAACGTAGCGCATACAATTTTTCTACACATACACTCTACTATAGAGCAATTTTTTGAACCCCCTGGACACAAGATGGCGGCCATCATGGTGGTTGCCAGTGCCCAGAACACCCGCTTGGTCCAGAGTCAGGGAGAGGGCCCGTGCATTTTGTTGTACCCTTCGGGGGACAATGACTTTGTATACTAATTACTGGCCAGTGCCTCGCCCAGTCTCTGGATACCATGACCTTAACTCAAGGCACTAGCATTAGCATCAGGGAAGAACCCAATTGAAACTAAATTTGTTCAATTCTAGTATACAATCTTGTAAACGTGGAGACAATATGCAAGTCGCAATTGATCTTCATGTTGTGCAGGAAACAAGCAGCCAAAATGCGCACTTGGACTACTGTCAAGATTGTGGCCATAGTAGAGTAGAGCTAAAGTCTAGCCTAGCTCCTGGCCCTAACCTTAACCATAGAGGGGAACAGCCCTAAACTTAACCAGTCACAGGAAGACATAAATTGGAAACTAAATTAGTTCATTGGTTACTCAACAAGAGTGGGGGGGGCGGAGCCTGTACACCATATAAAAGAGGACACCGAACAGAGTGCCTCCAGTCAGTGTAGAACTCGCCTGAAGAAGACACAAGAAGCTGTCGAAACGTAGCGCATACAATTTTTCTACACATACACTCTACTATAGAGCAATTTTTTGAACCCCCTGGACACAAGATGGCGGCCATCATGGTGGTTGCCAGTGCCCAGAACACTCGCTTGGTCCAGAGTCAGGGAGAGGGCCCGTGCATTTTGTTGTACCCTTCGGGGGACAATGACTTTGTATACTAATTACTGGCCAGTGCCTCGCCCAGTCTCTGGACACCATGACCTTAACTCAAGGCACTAGCATTAGCATCAGGGAAGAACCCAATTGAAACTAAATTTGTTCAATTCTAGTATACAATCTTGTAAACGTGGAGACAATATGCAAGTCGCAATTGATCTTCATGTTGTGCAGGAAACAAGCAGCCAAAATGCGCACTTGGACTACTGTCAAGATTGTGGCCATAGTAGAGTAGAGCTAAAGTCTAGCCTAGCTCCTGGCCCTAACCTTAACCATAGAGGGGAACAGCCCTAAACTTAACCAGTCACAGGAAGACATAAATTGGAAACTAAATTAGTTCATTGGTTACTCAACAAGAGTGGGGGGGCGGAGCCTGTACACCATATAAAAGAGGACACCGAACAGAGTGCCTCCAGTCAGTGTAGAACTCGCCTGAAGAAGACACAAGAAGCTGTCGAAACGTAGCGCATACAATTTTTCTACACATACACTCTACTATAGAGCAATTTTTTGAACCCCCTGGACACAAGATGGCGGCCATCATGGTGGTTGCCAGTGCCCAGAACACTCGCTTGGTCCAGAGTCAGGGAGAGGGCCCGTGCATTTTGTTGTACCCTTCGGGGGACAATGACTTTGTATACTATATTCTTATATTTGTAATTATTGTAAGTATACTGTTTTCCACCATCATGTAAATACTATATAAGATTATAAAAGTTTTGAAAATATGTCAACACGTTTGTCTTCAATGGACTTCAAATGACCAAAAACGCGCTCGTTTCATGATTCTGACAAAACTTGTTTGCCCCAAACACTTGAGTTAGGGTAAATTTTCGCCTTTCTCGCTGTCCCATTCATTTCAATGCTGAACTTAAAATGTGTTTAACTCCCAAACCAAAGGTCCTAGAGACTTGAAACCTTGATCCGTCGGACATAATTGTGGTCTTCTAACGACTTTTGGTTCCGGAGATACACAAAAATCAAGGATTTTTTTGGCAAATATCGCAAGAATAAAAAGTCCCACAGCATAATGGGGGGCACCAATTGAAAGCCATCCTCATGGAATGGGGGGTTCATCTTGGTTTCAATGTTTTACGACGTTCCATTTCTGAGATATGTGCCCTCAAACCTTTATGGGAGGGGGTACCATAGGTGGTTTTTCACCCCCTATTCTAACCCTAACCCTTTTTCATATAGTTATAAGGACACAGGCCCGTGCATTTGATTGTTCCAAGTCTTTCTGAATGAACAATACAACAATCTTTTATTTTTCACCGAACTGGAACAAAGATGACACAAGGATCAGAAGGTAAAACATTTATTATTTAATAATTTGTCCTTTTTTTGCATAAGTGCAAAATGCACCCGTACAGCCACCTGAGGGAAGTCTACATCTTTAAATAAAAAAACAAGCTAAATGTACATTTATAGTACAAAATCCTCTTTTAAAAAATTGCAGTTTGTGTATAATATATATTTATAATTTACATTTCAAACAAAAGGCTCAAAAAGTAAAAAAAAAATCTTCAAATGAAAACTAAAAACATTTTCCCAAAAATGTAAAGCTGAGAAAACGCCAGACCCTGTTTAGACTTTGTCCATAAATATTAGATACACACAATAAAAGTCTCTTCACATTTTCTCAGTGGAGTCTGACACATCTACATTATTGCAAAGGAGTTCTACTAGAAAACACCAAGGAGGAGAGCGGAGGAGGAGAGTCAAGGAGGAGGAGAAGGAGAGCGGAGAAGGAGAGCGGAGGAGGAGAGCTGAGGAGGAGGAGAGCCGAGGAGGAGAGCGGAGGAGGAGGAGGAGAGCCGAGGAGGAGGAGAGCCGAGGAGGAGAGCGGAGGAGGAGGAGAGCGGAGGAGGAGAGCGGAGGAGGAGGAGAGCCAAGGAGGAGGAGAGCGGAGGAGGAGAGCGGAGGAGGAGAGCGGAGGAGGAGAGTGGAGGAGGAGAGCGGAGGAGGAGAGTGGAGGAGGAGAGCGGAGGAGGAGAGCGGAGGAGGAGAGCGGAGGAGGAGAGCGGAGGAGGAGGAGAGTGGAGGAGGAGAGCGGAGGAGGAGGAGAGCCGAGGAGGAGAGCGGAGGAGGAGAGCGGAGGAGGACGAGAGCCAAGGAGGAGAGCTGAGGAGGAGAGCCAAGGAGGAGGAGAGTGGAGGAGGAGAGCCAAGGAGGAGGAGAGCGGAGGAGGAGAGCCAAGGAGGAGGAGAGCGGAGGAGGAGAGCCAAGGAGGAGAGCCGAGGAGGAGGAGAGCCAAGGAGGAGGAGAGCCGAGGAGGAGGAGAGCCGAGGAGGAGGAGAGCGGAGGAGGAGGAGAGTGGAGGGTGAGAGCCGAGGAGAGTGGAGGATGAGAGCCAAGGAGGAGGAGAGCGGAGGAGGAGGCGAGCGGAGGAGGAGAGCAGGTCAGCGGCGGGTCAGCGGCGGGTCACGCCGGGTCAGGGCGGGTCAGGGCGGGTCAGCGGCGGGTCAGCGGCGGGTCAGCGGCGGGTCAGCGGCGGGTCACGCCGGGTCAGGGCGGGTCAGGGCGGGTCAGGGCGGGTCAGGGCGGGTCAGCGGCGGTACGGGTGGAAGCCCGCAACGTTGTGGTTCTGTCCCCGCCCAAAGGCCCCGGGAGCGGCCTGAGGGACTTGTGCTGTGGCCGTCCCATAGGCGGCGGGCTGCGAAGGGTCAGTGTATGTGTGAGTGAAGGGCAGCTCCTGACCATAACCTGCAACACAACAGCAACACACTGGTCATAACCTGCAACACAACAGCAGCACACTGGTCATAACCTGCAACACAACAGCAACACACTGGTCATAACCTGCAACACAACAGCAAGACACTGGTCATAACCTGCAACACAGCAGCAACACACTGGTCATAACCTGCAACACAACAGCAACACACTGGTCATAACCTGCAACACAGCAGCAACACACTGGTCATAACCTGCAACACAACAGCAACACACTGACCATAACCTGCAACACAACAGCAACACACTGGTCATAACCTGCAACACAACAGCAGCACACTGGTCATAACCTGCAACACAACAGCAACACACTGGTCATAACCTGCAACACAACAGCAACACACTGACATAACCTGCAACACAACAGCAACACACTGGTCATAACCTGCAACACAACAGCAGCACACTGGTCATAACCTGCAACACAACAGCAACACACTGGTCATAACCTGCAACACAACAGCAACACACTGGTCATAACCTGCAACACAACAGCAGCACACTGGTCATAACCTGCAACACAACAGCAACACACTGGTCATAACCTGCAACACAACAGCAACACACTGGTCATAACCTGCAACACAACAGCAACACACTGGTCATAACCTGCAACACAACAGCAGCACACTGGTCATAACCTGCAACACAACAGCAGCACACTGGTCATTCCCTGCAACACAACAGCAACACACTGGTCATAACCTGCAACACAACAGCAACACACTGGTCATAACCTGCAACACAACAGCAACACACTGGTCATAACCTGCAACACAACAGCAACACACTGGTCATAACCTGCAACACAACAGCAACACACTGGTCATAACCTGCAACACAACAGCAGCACACTGGTCATAACCTGCAACACAACAGCAACACACTGGTCATTCCCTGCAACACAACAGCAACACACTGGTCATAACCTGCAACACAACAGCAACACACTGGTCATAACCTGCAACACAACAGCAAGACACTGGTGTCCCCCTCTTCCCTCTCCCCCTGGGTCTCACACGTCCCTCTCCCCCTGGGTCTCACCCGTCCCTCTCCCCCTGGGTCTCACCCGTCCCTCTCCCCCTGGGTCTCACCCGTCCCTCTCCTCTCGGGTCTCACCCGTCCCTCTCCTCTCGGGTCTCACCCGTCCCTCTCCCCCTGGGTCTCACCCTTCCCTCTCCCCCTCGGTCTCACCCGTCCCTCTCCCCCTGGGTCTCACACGTCCCTCTCCCCCTGGGTCTCACCCGTCCCTCTCCCCCTGGGTCTCACCCTTCCCTCTCCCCCTGGGTCTCACCCGTCCCTCTCCTCTCGGGTCTCACCCGTCCCTCTCCCCCTGGGTCTCACCCGCCCCTCTCCCCCTGGGTCTCACCCTTCCCTCTCCCCCTGGGTCTCACCCTTCCCTCTCCTCTCGGGTCTCACCCGTCCCTCTCCCCCTGGGTCTCACCCGTCCCTCTCCCCCTGGGTCTCACCCGTCCCTCTCCCCCTGGGTCTCACCCGTCCCTCTCCCCCTGGGTCTCACCCGTCCCTCTCCTCTCGGGTCTCACCCGTCCCTCTCCCCCTGGGTCTCACCCGTCCCTCTCCTCTCGGGTCTCACCCGTCCCTCTCCTCTCGGGTCTCACCCGTCCCTCTCCTCTCGGGTCTCACCCGTCCCTCTCCCCCTCGGTCTCACCCGTCCCTCTCCCCCTGGGTCTCACACGTCCCTCTCCCCCTGGGTCTCACCCTTCCCTCTCCCCCTGGGTCTCACCCGTCCCTCTCCTCTCGGGTCTCACCCGTCCCCTCTCCTCTCGGGTCTCACCCGTCCCTCTCCCCCTGGGTCTCACCCGCCCCTCTCCCCCTGGGTCTCACCCTTCCCTCTCCCCCTGGGTCTCACCCGTCCCTCTCCTCTCGGGTCTCACCCGTCCCTCTCCCCCTGGGTCTCACCCTTCCCTCTCCCCCCGGTCTCACCCGTCCCTCTCCCCCTGGGACTCACCCTTCCCTCTCCCCCTGGGTCTCACACGTCCCTCTCCCCCTGGGTCTCACCCGTCCCTCTCCCCCTGGGTCTCACCCGTCCCTCTCCCCCTGGGTCTCACCCGTCCCTCTCCCCCTGGGTCTCACCCGTCCCTCTCCTCTCGGGTCTCACCCGTCCCTCTCCCCCTGGGTCTCACCCGTCCCTCTCCTCTCGGGTCTCACCCGTCCCTCTCCTCTCGGGTCTCACCCGTCCCTCTCCTCTCGGGTCTCACCCGTCCCTCTCCCCCTCGGTCTCACCCGTCCCTCTCCCCCTGGGTCTCACACGTCCCTCTCCCCCTGGGTCTCACCCTTCCCTCTCCCCCTGGGTCTCACCCGTCCCTCTCCTCTCGGGTCTCACCCGTCCCTCTCCTCTCGGGTCTCACCCGTCCCTCTCCTCTCGGGTCTCACCCGTCCCTCTCCCCCTGGGTCTCACCCGCCCCTCTCCCCCTGGGTCTCACCCTTCCCTCTCCCCCTGGGTCTCACCCGTCCCTCTCCTCTCGGGTCTCACCCGTCCCTCTCCCCCTGGGTCTCACCCTTCCCTCTCCCCCCGGTCTCACCCGTCCCTCTCCCCCTGGGTCTCACCCGTCCCTCTCCCCCTGGGTCTCACCCGTCCCTCTCCCCCTGGGACTCACCCTTCCCTCTCCCCCTGGGTCTCACACGTCCCTCTCCCCCTGGGTCTCACCCGTCCCCTCTCCCCCTGGGTCTCACCCTTCCCTCTCCCCCTGGGTCTCACCCGTCCCTCTCCCCCTGGGTCTCACCCGTCCCTCTCCCCCTGGGTCTCACCCGTCCCTCTCCCCCTGGGTCTCACACGTCCCTCTCCCCCTGGGTCTCATCCTTCCCTCTCCTCTCGGGTCTGAGCCATTCCTCATCCTTTCTGAACTTTCTTTATGTAGACCTATAGGTGGCGCTCTATCGCACATGTCTCGGCCTGTGGCGTATTCAGCGCTTGGCCCCTTCTATATTTGTCCAAATCTTTGCCTTTTGAAGAAAAAGGTACGTTTTAGCTCAGACACACACCAGGGGGCAGTGTTCCCTCAGACACACACCAGGGGGCAGTGTTCCCTCAGACACACACCAGGGGGCAGTGTTCCCTCAGACACACACCAGGGGGCAGTGTTCCCTCAGACACACACCAGGGGGCAGTGTTCCCTCAGACACACACCAGGGGGCAGTGTTGTTCTTTTTATATAAACTTTCATAATATTATTGAATAAAACCCTTTATCAACAACAGGAAGTTCAGAAATATGACTTTCTCGTGTGTGTGTGTGTGTGTGTGTGTGTGTGTGTGTGTCACAGAGACCAAAGAGTGACACCACAACTCAACCATGAACATCTGATCATCTTTAACAGCTCTGAGGGATATACTATTCTATAATCCTCTATATGGTTCTATAACTACATGTTGGGGCGACAGTAGCTCAGTCAGACTTTCTCCACCGACTCCCATTGTCTGCTGTCGTTGTGTCCTTGGGCAAGACACTTAACCTCTGGGAACACCAGCCACAGTGGGGCGGCTGTAAAGTGCCAAACTGTGGTTGTGTCCTTAGGCAAGACACTTCCCCCACATTAAAATGAGACTGGTGTTTGTGTGAATGGTTGGTGGTGGTGGGAGGGGCCGATGGCACAGACTGGTTGCCTCGCTTCTGTCAGTGTGCCCCAGGGCAGCTGTGGCTACAGTAGTAGTTCATCACCACCAAGTTTATTTATATAATGCCTTTCCCAGAGTCACCTGCAAGTTTTTAGTGGAAGGGGAAACTGGAGCACCTGGAGGAAACCTACGCAGACAGAGGGAGAACATGGTCCGGAGGAGGAATAGCCCTAACCCTCTAACCCTGGGTTAGGGTCCTTAAATATAATCTTGAGAATATCTATTTTCATGGCTTTTAAGTTTGGGTGTAAGAAGGAGCAGCAGCTGGGATAAGGAGGAGTAAGGAGGGATAAGGAGGGATAAGGAGGAGTAAGGAGGGATAAGGAGGGATAAGGAGGAGTAAGGAGGAGTAAGGAGGGATAAGGAGGGATAAGGAGGGATAAGGAGGAGTAAGGAGGAGTAAGGAGGAGTAAGGAGGGATAAGGAGGGATAAGGCGGGATAAGGAGGAGTAAGGAGTGATAAGGAGCGATAAAGAGGAGTAAGGAGGGATAAGGAGGAGTAAGGAGGGATAAGGAGGGATAAGGAGGAGTAAGGAGGGATAAGGAGGGATAAGGAGGGATAAGGAGGAGTAAGGAGGGATAAGGAGGGATAAGGAGGAGTGATAAGGAGGGATAAGGAGGGATAAGGAGGGATAAGGAGGGATAAGGAGCGATAAGGAGCGATAAGGAGGGATAAGGAGCGATAAGGAGGGATAAGGAGGGATAAGGAGCGATAAGGAGGGATAAGGAGCGATAAGGAGCGATAAGGAGGGATAAGGAGGGATAAGGAGCGATAAGGAGGGATAAGGAGGGATAAGGAGGGATAAGGAGGGATAAGGAGGGATAAGGAGGGATAAGGAGGATAAGGAGGGATAAGGAGCGATAAGGAGGGATAAGGAGCGATAAGGAGGGATAAGGAGGGATAAGGAGGGATAAGGAGCGATAAGGAGGATAAGGGATAAGGAGGATAAGGAGCGATAAGGAGGGATAAGGAGCGATAAGGAGGGATAAGGAGCGATAAGGAGGGATAAGGAGGAATAAGGAGGGATAAGGAGCGATAAGGAGCGATAAGGAGGGCTAAGGAGGGATAAGGAGCGATAAGGAGCGATAAGGAGGGATAAGGAGCGATAAGGAGGGATAAGGAGGGATAAGGAGGGATAAGGAGCGATAAGGAGGGATAAGGAGCGATAAGGAGCGATAAGGAGCGATAAGGAGGGATAAGGAGGAGTGATAAGGAGGGATAAGGAGCGACAAGGAGGGATAAGGAGGGATAAGGAGCGATAAGGAGGGATAAGGAGGGATAAGGAGCGATAAGGAGGGATAAGGAGGGATAAGGAGAGTGATAAGGAGAGTGATAAGGAGGGATAAGGAGCGACAAGGAGGGATAAGGAGGGATAAGGAGGAGTGATAAGGAGGGATAAGGAGCGACAAGGAGGGATAAGGAGCGATAAGGAGGGATAAGGAGGGATAAGGAGCGATAAGGAGCGATAAGGAGGGATAAGGAGCGATAAGGAGGGATAAGGAGCGATAAGGAGCGATAAGGAGCGATAAGGAGGGATAAGGAGCGATAAGGAGGGATAAGGAGGGATAAGGAGGGATAAGGAGGGATAAGGAGCGATAAGGAGGGATAAGGAGCGATAAGGAGGGATAAGGAGCGATAAGGAGGGATAAGGAGGGATAAGGAGCGATAAGGAGGGATAAGGAGGGATAAGGAGGGATAAGGAGCGATAGGAGGAGCGATAAGGAGGGATAAGGAGCGATAAAGGGGAAAGGAGGATAAGGAGGGATAAGGAGGATAAGGAGGGATAAGGAGGGATAAGGAGGGATAAGGAGGGATAAGGAGGGATAAGGAGGGATAAGGAGGGATAAGGAGGGATAAGGAGGGATAAGGAGGGATAAGGAGGGATAAGGAGGGATAAGGAGGGATAAGGAGGGATAAGGAGGGATAAGGAGGGATAAGGAGGGATAAGGAGGGATAAGGAGGATAAGGAGGGATAAGGAGCGATAAGGAGGGATAAGGAGCGATAAGGAGGGATAAGGAGGGATAAGGAGGGATAAGGAGGGATAAGGAGGATAAGGATAAGGAGGGATAAGGAGGATAAGGAGGGATAAGGAGGGATAAGGAGGATAAGGAGGGATAAGGAGGGATAGGAGGATAAGGGGATAAGGAGGGATAAGGAGGGATAAGGAGGGATAAGGAGGGATAAGGGGATAAGGAGCGATAAGGAGGGATAAGGAGGGATAAGGAGGGATAAGGGGGATAAGGAGGGATAAGGAGGGATAAGGAGGGATAAGGAGGGATAAGGAGGAGGGATAAGGAGGAGGATAAGGAGGGATAAGGAGGGATAAGGAGGGATAAGGAGGGATAAGGAGGGATAAGGAGGGATAAGGAGGGATAAGGGGGATAAGGAGCGATAAGGAGCGATAAGGAGGGATAAGGAGGAGTGATAAGGAGCGATAAGGAGGGATAAGGAGGGATAAGGAGGATAAGGAGGGATAAGGAGGATAAGGGGATAAGGAGCGATAAGGAGGGATAAGGAGAGGGATAAGGAGGGATAAGGAGGGATAAGGAGGGATAAGGAGGATAAGGAGCGATAAGGAGGGATAAGGAGGGATAGAGGATAAGGAGGATAAGGAGGGATAAGGAGGGATAAGGAGGGATAAGGAGCGATAAGGAGGGATAAGGAGGGATAAGGAGGGATAAGGAGCGATAAGGAGGGATAAGGAGGGATAAGGAGGGATAAGGAGGATAAGGAGGGATAAGGAGGGATAAGGAGGGATAAGGAGGGATAAGGAGGATAAGGAGGGATAAGGAGGGATAAGGAGGGATAAGGAGGGATAAGGAGTAAGGGATAAGGAGGGATAAGGAGGATAAGGAGGATAAGGAGGGATAAGGAGGGATAAGGAGGGATAAGGGGATAAGGGGATAAGGAGGATAAGGAGGGATAAGGAGCGATAAGGAGGGATAAGGAGGGATAAGGGGGATAAGGAGGGATAAGGAGGGATAAGGAGGAGGGATAAGGAGGGATAAGGAGGGATAAGGGGGAGGGATAGGGATAGGAGGGATAAGGAGGGATAAGGAGGGATAAAGGAGGGGATAAGGGGGGATAAGGAGGGATAAGGAGCGATAAGGAGGGATAAGGAGCGATAAGGAGGGATAAGGAGGGATAAAGGAGGGGATAAGGAGGGATAAGGAGGGATAAGGAGGGATAAGAGGATAAGGAGGGATAAGGAGGGATAAGGAGGGATAGGAGGAGGGATAAGGAAGGAGGGATAAGGGGGGATAAGGAGGGATAAGGAGCGATAAGGAGGGATAAGGAGCGATAAGGAGTGATAAGGAGGGATAAGGAGGGATAAGGAGGGATAAGGGGGGATAAGGAGCGATAAGGAGCGATAAGGAGGGATAAGGAGCGATAAGGAGGGATAAGGAGCGATAAGGAGCGATAAGGAGGGATAAGGAGCGATAAGGAGCGATAAGGAGCGATAAGGAGGGATAAGGAGCGATAAGGAGGGATAAGGAGCGATAAGGAGCGATAAGGAGGGATAAGGAGGGATAAGGAGCGATAAGGAGGGATAAGGAGCGATAAGGAGGGATAAGGAGCGATAAGGAGCGATAAGGAGGGATAAGTAGGGATAAGGAGCGATAAGGAGGGATAAGGAGGAGTAAGGAGCGATAAGGAGGGATAAGGAGCGATAAGGAGGGATAAGGAGGAGTAAGGAGCGATAAGGAGCGATGAGAGGCAGAGACAGAGGCAGAGACAGAGACAGAGACAGAGGCAGAGACAGAGACAGAGACAGAGACAGAGACAGAGGCAGAGGCAGAGGCAGAGGCAGAGACAGAGACAGAGACAGAGACAGAGACACAGAGACAGAGGCAGAGGCAGAGACAGAGACAGAGACAGAGGCAGAGACAGAGACAGAGGCAGAGGCAGAGACAGAGACAGAGGCAGAGGCAGAGGCAGAGACAGAGGCAGAGACAGAGGCAGAGACAGAGACAGAGACAGAGGCAGAGACAGAGGCAGAGACAGAGACAGAGGCAGAGGCAGAGGCAGAGACAGAGACAGAGACAGAGACAGAGACACAGAGACAGAGGCAGAGGCAGAGACAGAGACAGAGACAGAGGCAGAGACAGAGACAGAGGCAGAGGCAGAGACAGAGACAGAGGCAGAGGCAGAGGCAGAGACAGAGACAGAGACAGAGACAGAGGCAGAGGCAGAGACAGAGGCAGAGGCAGAGGCAGAGGCAGAGACAGAGGCAGAGACAGAGGCAGGGGCAGAGACAGGGGCAGGGGCAGAGGCAGAGGCAGAGGCAGAGACAGAGGCAGAGGCAGAGGCAGAGGCAGAGACAGAGGCAGAGACAGAGACAGGGGCAGAGGCAGAGACAGAGGCAGAGGCAGAGGCAGAGACAGAGACAGAGGCAGAGACAGAGGCAGAGACAGAGACAGAGGCAGAGGCAGGGGCAGAGGCAGAGGCAGGGGCAGAGGCAGAGACAGAGACAGAGACAGGGGCAGAGGCAGAGGGCAGAGGAGAGACAGAGACAGAGACAGAGACAGAGGCAGAGACAGAGGCAGAGGCAGAGACAGAGGCAGAGGCAGAGGCAGAGACAGAGGCAGAGACAGGGGCAGAGACAGGGGCAGAGACAGAGGCAGAGGCAGAGGCAGAGACAGGGGCAGAGACAGAGACGGGCAGAGACAGAGACAGAGACAGAGGCAGAGGCAGAGACAGAGACAGGGGCAGAGGCAGAGGCAGGGGCAGAGGCAGAGAGAGACAGAGACAGAGACAGGGGCAGAGGCAGAGGCAGAGAGAGACAGAGGCAGAGGCAGAGACAGAGACAGAGGCAGAGACAGAGGCAGAGACAGAGACAGGGGCAGAGACAGAGGCAGGGGCAGAGGCAGAGAGAGACAGAGACAGAGACAGGGGCAGAGGCAGAGGCAGAGAGAGACAGAGGCAGAGGCAGAGACAGAGACAGAGGCAGAGACAGAGGCAGAGACAGGGGCAGAGACAGAGGCAGAGGCAGAGGCAGAGACAGAGGCAGAGGCAGAGGCAGAGACAGAGACAGAGACAGAGGTAGAGAAAGAGACAGAGACAGAGGCAGAGGCAGAGACAGAGGCAGAGGCAGAGGCAGAGACAGAGGCAGAGATAGAGGCAGAGGCAGAGACAGGGGCAGAGACAGAGGCAGAGGCAGAGGCAGAGACAGAGGCAGAGGCAGAGGCAGAGACAGAGGCAGAGACAGAGACAGAGACAGAGGCAGAGACAGAGGCAGAGACAGAGGCAGAGACAGAGACAGAGGCAGAGACAGAGGCAGAGGCAGAGACAGAGGCAGAGGCAGAGGCAGAGACAGAGGCAGAGGCAGAGGCAGAGGCAGAGACAGAGGCAGAGGCAGAGACAGAGGCAGAGACAGAGGCAGAGACAGAGGCAGAGGCAGAGGCAGAGACAGAGGCAGAGGCAGAGGTAGAGAAAGAGAAAGAGACCGAGACAAAGACAGAAGCAGAGAGAGAGAAAGAGGCAGAGAAAGAGAAAGAGGCAGAGAAAGAGGCAGAGAAAGAGAAAGAGAAAGAGACAGAGAAAGAGAAGTCACTGCTCCTCCTCTGACTCCCGTCTCCCCTCATCACTCCGAACAGAGCCATTCAGTAGAATGAGAATCTACCATACCGGCAGTAGGAGAAGGACCTACCATAGAGACAGTAGGAAGACAATAGGAGGAGGACCTACCATGCCGACAGTAGAAGGACAGTAGGAGGAGGACCTACCATGCCGACAGTAGAAGGAGGACCTACCATGCCGACAGTAGAAGGACAGTAGGAGGAGGACCTACCATACCGACAGTAGGAGGAGGACCTACCATACCGACAGTAGGAGGACAATAGGAGGAGGACCTACCATGCCGACAGTAGAAGGACAGTAGGAGGAGGACCTACCATGCCGACAGTAGAAGGACAGTAGGAGGAGGACCTACCATGCCGACAGTAGAAGGACAGTAGGAGGAGGACCTACCATGCCGACAGTAGAAGGACAGTAGGAGGAGGACCTACCATACTGGCCGTAGGGGAAGTCGGGCAGCCCTCCTGGAGCCTTCAGATCCTGAGTGGGGGTGGTTGGGGGAGCGTAGCCCAGAGGAGCAGTCCCAGGGGTGGGGGGGGGAGGGGGCACTGCGGTGAACTGCTCGGTTTGTGCGGCGGCGAAACTGTAGCCGGCTGAAAACACATGCAACATGTGACATCACTATTACTCTCTCTGGTCTCTTTCTGGTCTTTCTCTCTGGTCTTTCTCTCTGGTCTTTCTCTCTCTGGTCTCTGGTCTCTCTCTCTCTGGTCTCTCTCTCTCTGGTCTCTCTCTCTCTGTCTCTCTGGTCTTTCTCTCTCTGGTCTTTGGTCTCTCTCTGGTCTCTGGTCTCTCTCTCTGGTCTCTCTCTCTGGTCTCTCTCTCTGGTCTCTCTCTCTGGTCTCTCTCTCTGGTCTCTCTCTCTGGTCTCTCTCTGGTCTTTCGCTCTCTGGTCTCTCTCTCTGGTCTCTCTCTCTGGTCTCTCTCTCTGGTCTCTCTCTCTGGTTTCTCTCTCTGGTCCTGTAGAGCAATGGTGAGTACTGACCAAAGGGGGGCGCTGTGCTGTAGCTCTGCTGAAAGCCCTGAGTGAAGCCGGGGCCCGTGACCAGGAAGGCACTGAAGGGTGAGGGCGGCTGAGAGGGGGTGCCCCGCGCTGCTGCCAGACCTGGAGCGTATCCTGCTGAGCAGCAACACAACCTTTACATTACAATTACATTATATCACTTATATTTAGGGCTGTCAAACCATTCAAATGTTTTAGTTGATTAATCGCGTAGTAATTAGGGTTGCCAACCGTCCCTTGAAATACGGAATTTTCCCGTATTTGAACTGATACGGGACGGCTTTTGTCCCGTATTTTCAGAGCCACCTTAAATGCATCACTCACTCACTGCATGTCACACACACACGAACACACACACACACAGTAATGATCATAGTTTAAGCATCTACCTTTCGGCCAATCAGTGTCAAAGGGGCGTAGGCTTGATCACAGACGTTGGTTTAATGTTGACAATCGCCAGCGTGGGCCGTGCCCGCAGCATCATCACGTCAGAAGTTTGGTAAAGTAGCGTAATTTTCCCGGATTCGGACTTCCGCCGTCAATAGCCCACGAAAGCTACTTTGTTAAACAAAAGTAATTGTGCTAAAATGATCATCTCTACGTTGATTTTACAAATTCAATGTGCTGTTTTAATGCAGAGAAATCCTCTGAATCCAATGCACTGCAAGCGCCGAGAAAAGCACTTAGGGACCGTCAACAAATATCCAGACCAGCTGTAAACGAACAATAGCTTGTACTGAAGCCACAAACTTGCACAAAACTCAGACAATATAAATAATGACCATATCGAACTGCTACAGACTTTGATTTGTGAGTTTTTTTAATGAATACATGTTTTTCTTTTTTCTTTTGCTTTTACAGAAATTGGTTTTTACTGTAACATTCATAAATAATGTATGTTACAGTATTTGTCTTTTTTTTATATTTTTTTATTACTAATAAGAATGCATTAAGTTTTTAACCAGCCAATTTATTCAATTTCATTTTTAACTAAGGATTTGTTTTTTATATATGTAGTCAATAAATTCCGTCCGTCCGTCCGTTTTCCTCCGCTTCATCCGTTGCCGGGTTGCGGGGGCAGCAGTCTAAGCAGAGACGCCCAGACTTCCCTCTCACACACTTCCTCCAGCTCGTCCGGGGGGACTCCAAGGCGTTCCCAGGCCAGCTGAGAGACATAGTCCCTCCAGCGTGTCCTGGGTCTTCCCCGGGGCCTCCTCCCGGTGGGACGTGCCCGGAACACCTCCCCAGGGAGGCGTCCAGGAGGCATCCGGAACAGATGCCCGAGCCACCTCAACTGGTTCCTCTCGACGTGGAGTAGCAGCGGCTCTACTCCGAGCTCCTCCCGTGTGACTGAGCTCCTCACCCTATCTCTAAGGGAGCAGCGGCTCTACTCCGAGCTCCTCCCGTGTGACCGAGCTCCTCACTCTATCTCTAAGGGAGCAGCCACTCTGCGGAGGAAGCTCATTTCGACGCTTGTATCCGCGATCTCGTTCTTTCGGACACTACCCAAAGCTCATGACCATAGGTGAGAGAGGGAACGAAGATTGATTGGTAAATCGAGAGCTTTGCCTTTCGGCTCAGCTCCCTCTTTACCAGATTTGGAGGTGCTGATTCTCATCCCAGCCGCTTCACACTCGGCTGCAAACCGTCCCAGTGCATGCTGCAGGTCCTGGTTCGTTGGAGCCAACAGGACAACATCGTCCGCAAACAGCAGAGATGAAATCCTGTGGTCCCTGAACCGGACCCCCTCCAACCCCTGGCTGCGCCTAGAAATTCTGTCCATAAAGACAGTGAACAGAACCGGTGACAAAGGGCAGCCCTGTCGGAGGCCAACATGCACCGAGAAAAGGTCTGACTTACTGCCGGCAATGCGAACACAGCTCTGGCTCCGGTCATACAGGGACCGAAAGGCCCTCAGCAGAGGACCCTGGACCCCGTACTCCTGGAGAACCCCCCCAAAGAACACCCCGGGGAACACAGTCGAACGCCTTCTCCAAATCCACAAAGCACATGTGGACAGGTTGGGCGAACTCCCATGAACCCTCGAGTATCCGATGGAGAGTATAGAGCTGGTCCAGTGTTCCGCGGCCGGGACGAAAACCACACTGCTCCTCCTGGATCCGAGATTCGACCATCGGCCGTAGCCTCCTCTCCAGTACATTTGAGTAGACCTTACCGGGGAGGCTGAGGAGTGACGCAAAAAAACTTATTCACGCGTTTGTCACCTCAAGGCTCGACTACTGTAACGCTTTACTGGCAGCGTGCCCTAAAGCCTCTTTGAAGAGCTTCCAGCTCGTTCAGAATACAGCAGCTAGGATCTTAACAGGTACCAAAAGGAGGGAGCACATAACTCCGGTGTTAAAATCACTCCACTGGCTCCCTGTGGAGTACAGAATAAAGTTTAAAATCCTACTCTTAACATATAAAGCCATAAATGGCTTGGCTCCCTCTTATCTCCAAGACACGTTAGTGTCGTATCAACCAGGTCGAGCGTTGCGCTCACAAAACGCCAGACGTCTGGTGGTTCCTAAGGTCTCAAAGGTCACTGTTGGCGGCAGAGCATTTAGCTCCAAGCTCCTTTACTGTGGAATCAGCTTCATTTATGTTAAGGAAGCAGATACGGTCTCCACATTCAAGGCCAGGCTTAAAGCACTTTACTTTAATTTAGCATATAGTTAGGTCATATATAATATATGGTGTATATATTATATATATATGCTGTATTATGTTATATATTATACAATATATGTATTATGTTGTGTATTGTGTTATGTTGTATATTATGTTATATATTATGCTGTATGTTATGTTGTGTATTATATATGATATATATGGTATGTATTGTATATATGATGTATATGATATATAATATATAATTAGGTTTGCCTGGATCGGTTTGCACACCTGGTGTGTAATCCATGAATCTTGGTGCTGTAGCCTAGCCTAGCCTAGCCGTGGCTGCTGCTGTCTCGCCTCCTTTCAGATACGCTCTCTTCATTCAAGGCTAGGTTTAAAACAGTCCTCTTTAGTTTAGCATATGGCTAGGAAGGTAAGACTCTGGGAAGGCTAAACTCCTCAGACTGTCAGTCAAGCTGCATAGGGAGCCCCCTGCTGGAGAAGTATGGTAACTTGAGCACTATCCTCTCCTCCTTCCTACTTTATCTGTTTAGCACTTTTAGGATTTTGACTGTAGTTTGTTCATTGCTATTCACCCGTTGTCCCATTGTCTGTTTCATGGTACGATGACGGGATCTCTGAGCCTGGCCTCCTCCATCTACACCTGCGGACTGCCCCGCCCGACCCGCCTGGGAGTGCTTCAGTCCTGCACCTGTCCACGTTCAGCGTCCACTGGTCCACGTTCTGTAGCTAGCTTAGGTCCTAGATCATTAGCCTGTCCGTCCGGAGGAGCGGATCCCTTTCTCATATGGGTCTCCCTCCCTGTGGGTTTCTCTAGTTCTCCTCCAAGGTTTCTCACTTTTTCCCACTGGGTTTTTTAAGAGTTGTTCCTTGTGGATGCAGGAGGGTCTTGTTGAACAGTTAGTGTCCAACAGAAAGGATTGGTGATGATCAGGACACTTTAGCATTCTACAACATGTATGGACATTTTCTTCTGTGTGTGCTTTATATTCTTCATGTGTTTTAACTGTTGATTCTCTGACCTGTGTTGGTGATTTCAATGGTTTTGTTAAGTCTCTGAGATGACTTCTGTTGTGACCTAGGGCTATATAAGAATAAATTGTATTGTATTGTGTATCCCACGATAATTGGAACACACCCTCCGGTCCCCCTTCTTGTAGAGAGGGACCACCACCCCGGTCTGCCACTCCATTGGCACCGCCCCCGATCGCCACGCGATGTTGCAGAGACGTGTCAGCCAAGACAGTCCTACAACATCCAGAGACTTTATATAGTCAGGACGGATCTCATCCACTCCCGGCCTCTTGCCACCATGGAGGCTGCCAACCACCTTGGTGACCTCTGCCAGGGAGATGGAAGTATCCGCCCCAACATTCTCAGCCTCTGCCTCCTGGACGGAGGACGTGACGGGGGGTTGAAGAGAACCTCGAAGTATTCCTTTCACCGCCCGACAATATCCCCAGTCGAGGTCAGCAGCTCTCCACCCGCACCATAAACGGTGTTGGCAAAGCACTGCTTCCCCCTCCTGAGGCGCCGGACGGTTTGCCAGAATCTCTTCGAGGCCGACCGATAGTCATGCTCCATGGACTCTCCGAACTCCTCCCAGTCCCGGGTTTTTGCCTCTGCAACAGCCCGGGCCGCGGCACGCTTGGCCTGCCGGTACTGGACAGCTGCCTCAGGAGTCCCCCGAACCATCATGGCTCGATAGGACTCCTTCTTCAGCCTGACGGCATTCCTTACTGCCGGTGTCCACCACCGGGTTCGGGGGTTGCCGCCGGGACCAGCACCAGAGACCTTGCGACCACAGCTACGAGCCGCCGCATCGGCGATAGAGGAAGAGAACATGGTCCACTCGGACTCAATATCCCCCTCCAGGTCCCGGCGGAGGACCTCCAATTTAATCAATAAATTACAATCTAAAAACTGTGATTATGTAGATTACTGTGTAGACTGAAATTAGGACAAAAAAGTGCTCAACCCGATCCACCCAAATGGTGTCCCTTATTTTTTTGTTTTCAAGTTGGCGACCCTAGTAGTAATGCTGAGTTAACTAACAATTAATCGCATTTTTACCATTCTATTTCAAATCCAGTCCAAGTTAAATGAGATTATCAAATGTAATGACACATGTCATTCATACCAAATGTAGCCGCTGAAGTTTGGAACCTCTGTCCAGAGGGGCCGCAGCTGCCCCGGGTCAGAACGCTGCGGCCACGGAGGGGGCGGACTGCAGTTCATACAAACAACAGCAAGTGTCGCCGTCACACGTTCTTTGAAAAAATTAATTCCCAGAGACCTGCTCTGTCTCCATCTTACACATGTGTCCGTGATATTATGGACACATGGGTCATTCTGAGTGATATTATGGACACATGGGTCATTCTGAGTGATATTATGGATACATGGGTCATTCTGAGTGATATTATGGACACATGGGTCATTCTGAGTGATATTATGGACACATGGGTCATTCTGAGTGATATTATGGATACATGAGTCATTCTGAGTGATATTATGGATACATGGGTCATTCTGAGTGATATTATGGACACATGAGTCATTCTGAGTGATATTATGGACACATGGGTCATTCTGAGTGATATTATGGACACATGGGTCATTCTGAGTGATATTATGGATACATGGGTCATTCTGAGTGATATTATGGACACATGAGTCATTCTGAGTGATATTATGGACACATGAGTCATTCTGAGTGATATTATGGACACATGGGTCATTCTGAGTGATATTATGGACACATGAGTCATTCTGAGTGATATTATGGACACATGAGTCATTCTGAGTGATATTATGGACACATGAGTCATTCTGAGTGATATTATGGACACATGAGTCATTCTGAGTGATATTATGGATACATGGGTCATTCTGAGTGATATTATGGATACATGAGTCATTCTGAGTGATATTATGGACACATGGGTCATTCTGAGTGATATTATGGATACATGAGTCATTCTGAGTGATATTATGGACACATGGGTCATTCTGAGTGATATTATGGATACATGGGCGGGTCATTCAGACATGCGTTAAGCGCATATTTTTTTAGTTAAACGCGATCATTTTGACAGCCCTACCTATATTACATTACAATATCCATCCATCCATTTTCTCCCGCTTCATCCATTAGGGTGACTGAGCTCCTCACTCTATCTCTAAGGGAGCAGCGGCTCTACTCCGAGCTCTTCCCGTGTGACTGAGCTCCTCACTCTATCTCTAAGGGAGCAGCCACTCTGCGGAGGAAGCTCATTTCGACCGCTTGTATCCGCGATCTCGTTCTTTCAGTCATTACCCAAAGCTCATGACCATAGGTGAGGGAGCTCTGACTGCAGACGCTGCTCCCTCTTCACCACAACAGTCCGATACAGCGACCGCATCACTGCGCACGCTGCACTGATCCGCCTGTCAATCTCACGCTCCATTCTTCCCTCACTCGTGAAGACCCCGAGATACTTGAACTCCTCCACTTGAGGAAGGACATTACAATACATTAATATATATTGCATGACATCATATCATATCATATCGTATCGTATCGTATCGTATCATGTTCACCACTAACACTTTCAAACGGCTCAGTCTCTAAAGCTCCTGTGTGTCCTTCATCTGTTCCCCAAAGTTCATGAACTTCATGGTCTTTCTAAGCCTCATGGTCCAGGACCAGGTCCCCTATAGGACCAGGACCAGGTCCAGAGGGGGGTCTTGTCCCCAGAGCCCCACACCTGCAGCAGACACTCACCGAGGGTCTGTCCTGTGGTCGAGACCCAAACTCCTGCAGAGAACACATGTTATTAACGGGACATAAGACAAACAGGACCTGTCTCCCCCTGTCTCCCTCTGTCTCCCCCCTCTCGGCCTCCCCCTCTCTCCCCCTGTCTCCTGTCTCCCCCTCTGTCTCTCTCTGACTCCCTCTGTCTCCACCCTCTCTGTCTCCCTCTGTCTCCCCCCTCTCTGCCTCCCCCTGTCTCCCCCTCTCTCCCCTTCTCACCTTGAGCTCCGTAGGGAGTCCAGCCCGTGGGGGGGGCACTAGTCCAGCCGTTGGGGGGGCTGAGGATCCCCCGGGACCCCCACTGACCCGGGGCTTTAGCGTCTCGTGGCTCTGCTTTTTTAACTTCAACCTGAACACAGCACAGGGGCCTCAGCAGCGTCTTCACACCAAGGTCAGGGGTCAGGGGCCACTGTCTTGGGCCAACGTCAGGGGTCAGGGGCCACAGTCTGGGGCCAAGGTCAGGGGTCAGGGGCCACAGTCTGGGGCCAAGGTCAGGCGCACTAAGTGTACAGTTGACTGAATGGGTTCTGTGTTTCTCAGGCACTGGAGCCTGAGGGTAATAACAGACAGAACACTGACCAAAGCTTTGGGTTAGAGCTGTACCTGAGAAACACAGACTGTTGAAGCTGTAATGGAGTCACTTACCTTTAGCTATTGCTAACATGCTTTAGCTAACGCTAACATGCTTTAGCTAATGCTAACATGCTTTTAGCAGACGTTTGTATCTGAGCAGACGAAGACGAGGAACATGCACACACCATCTTCATCTTCATACTGTGTCCAAAAATATCATTTAGTCTTCATACAATCTCCAGTCCCTGTGCTCCTCAGAGTCCCAGCAGGAGTCCAGTCCCTGTGCTCCTCAGAGTCCCAGCAGGAGGCCAGTCCCTGTGCTCCTCAGAGTCCCAGCAGGAGGTCAGTCCCTGTGCTCCTCAGAGTCCCAGCAGGAGTCCAGTCCCTGTGCTCCTCAGAGTCCCAGCAGGAGTCCAGTCCCTGTGCTCCTCAGAGTCCCAGCAGGAGGCCAGTCCCTGTGCTCCTCAGAGTCCCAGCAGGAGTCCAGTCCCTGTGCTCCTCAGAGTCCCAGCAGGAGGCCAGTCCCTGTGCTCCTCAGAGTCCCAGCAGGAGGCCAGTCCCTGTGCTCCTCAGAGTCCCAGCAGGAGTCCAGTCCCTGTGCTCCTCAGAGTCCCAGCAGGAGGCCAGTCCCTTTGCTCCTCAGTTTGTGTGTGATGTTGTTACACACACTGTACGACCAAAGTGTTACCCTTGATATTGTGTCTCCGTGTGGCTCTCTCAGGTTTGGAAAATCTGCGACAATTTTAAAATCAGCATGTTCTGTGTTAGCCTTAGCATTAGCTTTAGCATCAGTGGCGTCAGGGGAAGGAGTGGTTTTGAGGCTGAAGAGTTTTGCAGCCGTTGCTCTTGACTTTCTCTTGTGCTTTGGGGACGCTCAGATCTGGGACAGGAGCAGAAAGTGGAGCAGATGAAGCACAGATCCAGTTCAGGAATCACAGCATCCATCAGGGGGAGGGGCCCACGGGGAGGGGCCCACGGGGAGGGGCCCACGGGGAGGGGCCCACAGGAGGGGCCCACAGGAGGGGCCCACAGGACAGGGGCCCACAGGACAGGGGCCCACAGGACAGTGGCCCACAGGAGGGGCCCACAGGACAGTGGCCCACAGGAGGGGCCCACAGGAGGGGCCCACAGGACAGGGGCCCACAGGACAGTGGCCCACAGGAGGGGCCCACAGGAGGGGCCCACAGGACAGGGGCCCACAGGACAGTGGCCCACAGGAGGGGCCCACAGGAGGGGCCCACAGGACAGGGGCCCACAGGACAGTGGCCCACAGGAGGGGCCCACAGGACAGGGGCCGGAAACGTGTGAGTGTAATTGGGTCGACAGAGAAGGACACCAGGAGTCTATGATACACTGTTCCTGCTGCAAGGTGACCCCAATACCTCCTCTCCCCCTCCCTCACCCCCTCACCCCCTCACCCCCTCCCTCAGTCTATTTCTGTCGGCTCCCAGCAGCAGAGCTTCATGCACCAGTTATGGAGCTGTAGTTTTCTCTCCGCGGTCATTTCTCCACAAATGTGACAAACGCACAATGAGGACACAAGACTTTTCTCAGCTTTAAGTTGTTTGCTCTGGTGCTTTAAAGTGGGCTGCGAGCTGATTGGCTGTTTTAGAGTCAGAACCAGAGAAATGGTTTTAACACAGAGTTCAATTGGTCTGAGAGTCACAGACCCCAGCTTTAAAGTCACAGACCCCAGCTTTAAAGTCACAGACCCCAGCTTTAAAGTCACAGACCCCAGCTTTAAAGTCACAGACCCCAGCTTTAAAGTCACAGACCCCAGCTTTCTGTAATGCAGTTGATGTGTCTAAAAGTGCAAGTCTTTCTAATATCATGAAAAGACTGAGGAGCACAGGGACTGGCCCCCTGCTGGGACTCTGAGGAGCACAGGGACTGGCCTCCTGCTGGGACTCTGAGGAGCACAGGGACTGGCCTCCTGCTGGGACTCTGAGGAGCACAGGGACTGGCCTCCTGCTGGGACTCTGAGGAGCACAGGGACTAGCCTCCTGCTGGGACTCTGAGGAGCACAGGGACTGGCCCCCTGCTGGGACTCTGAGGAGCACAGGGACTAGCCTCCTGCTGGGACTCTGAGGAGCACAGGGACTGGCCTCCTGGTGGGACTCTGAGGAGCACAGGGACTGGCCTCCTGCTGGGACTCTGAGGAGCACAGGGACTGGCCTCCTGGTGGGACTCTGAGGAGCACAGGGACTGGCCCCCTGCTGGGACTCTGAGGAGCACAGGGACTGGCCTCCTGCTGGGACTCTGAGGAGCACAGGGACTGGCCCCCTGCTGGGACTCTGAGGAGCACAGGGACTGGCCCCCTGCTGGGACTCTGAGGAGCACAGGGACTGGCCTCCTGGTGGGACCCTGAGGAGCACAGGGACTGAACTGGGTGGTCTCTCTTTGTCACATCTTTCAGACAGAGTGCGGTTTGAAAGTAAGGTGCCTGAGCTTTAATCAGAGTGAAGTCTGGTGTTTGCTTCCTGATCCTTCGTCTGGAGCTAGAACAAATAGACTCAGACACAGTGTGAAGATTCTCAGTCACTGCCAACTCCAAAAACAAATCCAAAATGTTGAAAGTGACGGAAACACAAAAGAAACAGTGCAGAACCAATCCTGTAGGAGGCGCTACGTTCAAAATGTATTCATTTAGTCCAGGGGTGACTGTCCTCAAAGACCCGCTGTGGCTGCAGGTTTTCACTCCAACCTGAGCAGGAGAACAGACTCCACCTATTTCCTCAGCACTTTAGGTTAGGACTGGACTCACCTGAGGAAGTGGGAGGAGCCTCCTGCTGTTGGAATGAATACCTGCAGCCACACGACTCTATGAAGACCTCCCCCAGACCTCCTACAGACCTCCTCCAGGAGACCTCCTCCAGGAGACCTCCTCCAGGAGACCTCCTCCAGGAGACCTCCTCCAGGAGACCTCCCCCGGACCACCCTACAGGAGTGGTCTGTCCACTCGGAGCCTGGAGCAACTCAGACTCAGAAATATGAATATGAATTGGAATGAATAGGACTGTGTGTGTGAGTGTGTGTCTCTGTATATGTGTGTGTCTGTGTGTGTGTCACTCCAGCCTCCGTTGTGGTGAAAGGGTAGATAGTAACTGCCACTACACACTTTTTTGCCCATGATGTCGTGATAATGCATGTTGACGGCCTGCTCCACTGACTGTTCAGCCTCGAAAGTAATAAATCCAAAACCTAACGACCAAGAGTGAAACCAACACAGATGATGTCATAGATGATGTCATAGAGTCGGACAGAGAGACGCCTTCACATCACGGGGCATTAGTCTGTGTGTGTGCCCCGGGGCAGCTGTGGCTACAGTAGGTCTGTGACTTCCGTTAATTCAGCTTCTGTCTGTTTTTTTATAAAGTCAAACAGTGCAGTCTCATGTGAAGATGCCTCCCTGTTCCATTGGCCAGTTGCCGTGGCAACCGGTGTTAATGCATCCCATAATATGGACCAACACTGCACAGGTCGTGTTAAGATACAGCATCAAACTTAAAAACTAGAGATAAAGGCCAAAGGTTGAGGAGCAAACACTGGACCAAAGTCTGACTTTCAGATTCAAACAATTTTACTTCATACAATCTTTTAAAGTAAATTTGTGGTCCATATGATTCTCTCTGGTCCCTCTCTGGTCCCTCTCTGGTCCCTCTCTGGTCCCTCTCTGGTCCCTCTCTGGTCTCTCTCTGGTCTCTCTCTTCTCTCTGGTCCCTCTCTGGTCTCTCTTCTCTCTGGTCCCTCTCTGGTCCCTCTCTTCTCTCTGGTCCCTCTCTGGTCTCTGAGACCTGGTTTCTCTCCGTGATGGTCCGTGCTTGTGGCAGAACTGGGTCGACGCTCGTCTCTGGGATTTAACCCGAATCCAATTAAACGTCCGCAGAGACCAGTCCTGTTTCAGAAACGCTTCAGCTATTCATAAATCTGTCCTGCTGAGATTGAGGACCATGTAGAGACTGGGGCTTCTCTCAGACTGAGGACCATGTGTGAGGACCATGTAGAGACTAGGGCTTCTCTCCGGCAAAGATAATAACATCATTCTGGACTAACCAGGACTAAAGCAGGACTAAAGCAGGACTAAAGCAGGTCTAAATCAGGTCTAAAGCAGGTCTAAAGCAGGACTAAAGCAGGTCTAAAGCAGGTCTAAAGCAGGTCTAAAGCAGGACTAAAGCAGGACTAAAGCAGGACTAAAGCAGGACTAAAGCAGGACTAAAGCAGGACTAAAGCAGGACTAAAGCAGGACTAAAGCAGGTCTAAATCAGGTCTAAAGCAGGTCTAAAGCAGGACTAAAGCAGGTCTAAAGCAGGACTAAAGCAGGACTAAAGCAGGACTAAAGCAGGACTAAAGCAGGACTAAAGCAGGACTAAAGCAGGTCTAAAGCAGGACTAAAGCAGGACTAAAGCAGGTCTAAAGCAGGTCTGTCCAGTCCTTTGGGCTTTATCTCTGACTATAGAAAATAGAAAAAATCTGAAAGAGACGGTTCCAAAAGCATTCAGGATCAGGAGAAACACACTAAAGTACTTCACTAAACGCACAAACTTAACACACAAACTTAACACACAAACAGCAGAACCTGACGAATCTGCATCCTCCAGTCTGGTACAGTCTCTCTCTCTCTCTGGTACAGTCTCTCTCTCGTACAGTCTCTCTCTCTCTCTGGTACAGTCTCTCTCTGGTACAGTCTCTCTCTGGTACAGTCTCTGGTACAGTCTCTCTCTCGTACAGTCTCTCTCTCTCTCTGGTACAGTCTCTCTCTGGTACAGTCTCTCTCTGGTACAGTCTCTGGTACAGTCTCTCTCTGGTACAGTCTCTGGTACAGTCTCTCTCTCTGGTACAGTCTCTCTCTGGTACAGTCTCTCTCTGGTACAGTCTCTCTCTCTGGTACAGTCTCTCTCTGGTACAGTCTCTCTCTGGTACAGTCTCTGGTACAGTCTCTCTCTGGTACAGTCTCTCTCTGGTACAGTCTCTGGTACAGTCTCTCTCTGGTACAGTCTCTCTCTGGTACAGTCTCTGGTACAGTCTCTCTCTGGTACAGTCTCTCTCTGGTACAGTCTCTCTGGTACAGTCTCTGGTACAGTCTCTCTCTGGTACAGTCTCTCTCTCTGGTACAGTCTCTCTCTGGTACAGTCTCTCTCTCTGGTACAGTCTCTCTCTCTGGTACAGTCTCTCTCTGGTACAGTCTCTGGTACAGTCTCTCTCTCTGGTACAGTCTCTCTCTGGTACAGTCTCTCTCTCTGGTACAGTCTCTCTCTGGTACAGTCTCTGGTACAGTCTCTCTCTCTGGTACAGTCTCTCTCTGGTACAGTCTCTCTCTCTGGTACAGTCTCTCTCTCTGGTACAGTCTCTCTCTGGTACAGTCTCTCTCTCTGGTACAGTCTCTCTCTGGTACAGTAGAAAGGGCCTGGTCAGACCGGGATTCGAACCCAGGACCTTCTTGCGGAGAGGCGAGAGTGCTATCCACTCTGCCACCGTGCCGCCCCGTGCCACCGTGGTACAGTCTCTCTCTGGTAACGTCTCTCTCTGGTAGAGTCTCTCTCTGGTAACGTCTCTCTCTGGTAACGTCTCTCTCTGGTAACGTCTCTCTCTGGTAACGTCTCTCTCTGGTAACGTCTCTCTCTGGTAACGTCTCTCTCTGGTAGAGTCTCTCTCTGGTAGAGTCTCTCTCTGGTAATGTCTCTCTCTGGTAACGTCTCTCTCTGGTAGAGTCTCTCTCTGGTAACGTCTCTCTCTGGTAACGTCTCTCTCTGGTAACGTCTCTCTCTGGTAACGTCTCTCTCTGGTAACGTCTCTCTCTGGTAGAGTCTCTCTCTGGTAGAGTCTCTCTCTGGTAATGTCTCTCTCTGGTAACGTCTCTCTCTGGTAGAGTCTCTCTCTGGTAACGTCTCTCTCTGGTAACGTCTCTCTCTGGTAACGTCTCTCTCTGGTAACGTCTCTCTCTGGTAACGTCTCTCTCTGGTAACGTCTCTCTCTGGTAACGTCTCTCTCTGGTAACGTCTCTCTCTGGTAACGTCTCTCTCTGGTAACGTCTCTCTCTGGTAACGTCTCTCTCTGGTAACGTCTCTCTCTGGTAGAGTCTCTCTCTGGTAATGTCTCTCTCTGGTAACGTCTCTCTCTGGTAGAGTCTCTCTCTGTTAACGTCTCTCTCTGGTAACGTCTCTCTCTGGTAACGTCTCTCTCTGGTAACGTCTCTCTCTGGTAACGTCTCTCTCTGGTAACGTCTCTCTCTGGTAGAGTCTCTCTCTGGTAGAGTCTCTCTCTGGTAATGTCTCTCTCTGGTAACGTCTCTCTCTGGTAGAGTCTCTCTCTGGTAACGTCTCTCTCTGGTAACGTCTCTCTCTCGGGTAACGTCTCTCTCTGGTAACGTCTCTCTCTGGTAACGTCTCTCTCTGGTAACGTCTCTCTCTGGTAACGTCTCTCTCTGGTAACGTCTCTCTCTGGTACGTCTCTCTGGTAACGTCTCTCTCTGGTAACGTCTCTCTCTGGTAACGTCTCTCTCTGGTAACGTCTCTCTCTGGTAACGTCTCTCTCTGGTAACGTCTCTCTCTGGTAACGTCTCTCTGGTACAGTCTCTCTGGTACAGTCTCTCTCTGGTAACGTCTCTCTGGTAACGTCTCTCTCTGGTAACGTCTCTCTCTGGTAACGTCTCTCTCTGGTAACGTCTCTCTCTGGTAACGTCTCTCTCTGGTAACGTCTCTCTCTGGTAACGTCTCTCTCTGGTAACGTCTCTCTCTGGTAACGTCTCTCTCTGGTAACGTCTCTCTCTGGTAACGTCTCTCTCTGGTAACGTCTCTCTCTGGTAACGTCTCTCTGGTACAGTCTCTCTGGTACAGTCTCTCTCTGGTAACGTCTCTCTGGTAACGTCTCTCTCTGGTAACGTCTCTCTCTGGTAACGTCTCTCTCTGGTAACGTCTCTCTCTGGTAACGTCTCTCTCTGGTAACGTCTCTCTCTGGTAACGTCTCTCTCTGGTAACGTCTCTCTCTGGTAACGTCTCTCTCTGGTAACGTCTCTCTCTGGTAACGTCTCTCTCTGGTAACGTCTCTCTCTGGTAACGTCTCTCTCTGGTAACGTCTCTCTCTGGTAACGTCTCTCTCTGTAACGTCTCTCTCTGGTAACGTCTCTCTCTGGTAACGTCTCTCTCTGGTAACGTCTCTCTCTGGTAACGTCTCTCTCTGGTACGTCTCTCTGGTAACGTCTCTCTCTGGTAACGTCTCCTGGTAACGTCTCTCTCTGGTAACGTCTCTCTCTGGTAACGTCTCTCTCTGGTAACGTCTCTCTCTGGTAACGTCTCTCTCTCTCTCTGGTAACGTCTCTCTCTGGTAACGTCTCTCTGGTAAGTCTCTCTTGGTAACGTCTCTCTCTGGTAACGTCTCTCTCTGGTAACGTCTCTCTCTGGTACGTCTCTCTCTGGTAACGTCTCTCTCTGGTAACGTCTCTCTCTGGTAACGTCTCTCTCTGGTAACGTCTCTCTCTAACGTCTCTCTCTGGTAACGTCTCTCTCTGGTAACGTCTCTCTCTGGTAACGTCAGTCTCTCTGGTAACGTCTCTCTCTGGTAACGTCTCTCTCTGGTAACGTCTCTCTCTGGTAACGTCTCTCTCTGGTAACGTCTCTCTCTGGTAACGTCTCTCTCTGGTAACGTCTCTCTCTGGTAACGTCTCTCTCTCTGGTAACGTCTCTCTCTGGTAACGTCTCTCTCTGGTAACGTCTCTCTCTGGTAACGTCTCTCTCTGGTAACGTCTCTCTCTGGTAACGTCTCTCTCTGGTAACGTCTCTCTCTGGTAACGTCTCTCTCTGGTAACGTCTCCCTGGTAACGTCTCTCTCTGGTAACGTCTCTCTCTGGTAACGTCTCTCTCTGGTAACGTCTCTCTCTGGTAACGTCTCTCTCTGGTAACGTCTCTCTCTGGTAACGTCTCTCTCTGGTAACGTTCTCTCTGTAACGTCTCTCTCTGGTAACGTCTCTCTCTGGTAACGTCTCTCTCTGGTAACGTCTCTCTCTGGTAACGTCTCTCTCTGGTAACGTCTCTCTCTGGTAACGTCTCTCTCTGGTAACGTCTCTCTCTGGTAACGTCTCTCTCTGGTAACGTCTCTCTCTGGTAACGTCTCTCTCTGGTAACGTCTCTCTCTGGTAACGTCTCTCTCTGGTAACGTCTCTCTCTGGTAACGTCTCTCTCTGGTAACGTCTCTCTCTGGTAACGTCTCTCTCTGGTAACGTCTCTCTCTGGTAACGTCTCTCTCTGGTAACGTCTCTCTCTGGTAACGCTCTCTCTCTCTGGTAACGTCTCTCTCTGGTAACGTCTCTCTCTGGTAACGTCTCTCTCTGGTAACGTCTCTCTCTGGTAACGTCTCTCTCTGGTAACGTCTCTCTCTGGTAACGTCTCTCTCTGGTAACGTCTCTCTCTGGTAACGTCTCTCTCTGGTACGTCTCTCTCTGGTAACTCTCTCTCTCTCTCTGGTAACGTCTCTCTCTGGTAACGTCTCTCTCTGGTAACGTCTCTCTCTGGTAACGTCTCTCTCTGGTAACGTCTCTCTCTGGTAACGTCTCTCTCTGGTAACGTCTCTCTCTGGTACAGTCTCTCTCTGGTAACGTCTCTCTCTGGTAACGTCTCTCTCTGGTAACGTCTCTCTCTGGTAACGTCTCTCTCTGGTAACGTCTCTCTCTGGTAACGTCTCGCTCTGGTAACGTCTCTCTCTGGTAACGTCTCTCTCTGGTAACGTCTCTCTCTGGTAAGCAGTCTTTCTGCTACAGTCAGACCCAGAAGCAGCTCTGGTTCGTCAGCTTCTGCAGCGTCTGAGAGCTACGTTAGAGCTACTTTAAAGCTATGTTAGAGCTACATTAGAGCTACTTTAGAGCTACATTAGAGCTACTTTAAAGCTACTTTAGAGCTATCCCAAACTTACTGTGATATACGATTAAAACAGCCTGTTCTTATGGAACAGAGTCACATGGTCAAGTCACATGGTCAAGTCACATGACAAACTGTTCACACTGATGTCAAATACATCATAATTCCTTTAAAAATCTCTGGGGAAATAAATATGTTGATCGCTAACTTGTCCTTAGAGCTGCCTCAGACCTGACTAGAGCTTAGTCGCTCAGACGTTTGTTGAGTGTGTGAACAGTTTGCCGTGGGAGGAGCAAGGGGAGGGGCATGTGGGAGGAGCAAGGGGAGGGGCATGTGGGAGGAGCAAGGGGAGGGGGGCCTTGAAGGGGGCGGGGCAGGAGGAGCAGGGGGAGGGGTAAGGGGAGGGGGGGGGGGAGAAGCAGCAGGGTTAGGGGGAGGAGAAAGAGCAGGGTTAGGGGGAGGAGAAGGAGCAGGGTTCAGGGTTAGGGGGAGGAGGAGGTGCAGGGTTAAACAAGGAGAAGGAGCAGGGTTAGGGGGAGGAGAAAGAGCAGGGTTAGGGGGAGGAAGGAGCAGGGTTAGGGGGAGGAGAAAGAGCAGGGTTAGGGGGAGGAAGGAGCAGGGTTAGGGGGAGGAGAAAGAGCAGGGTTAGGGGGAGGAGAAGGAGCAGGGTTAGGGGGGGAGGAGAAGGAGCAGGGTCAAGGGGAGGAGAAAGAGCAGGGTCAAGGGGAGGAGAAAGAGCAGGATTAGGGGGAGGAAGGAGCAGGGTTAGGGGGAGGAAGGAGCAGGGTTAGGGGGAGGAGAAGGAGCAGGGTTAGGGGGAGGAGAAGGAGCAGGGTCAAGGGGAGGAGAAAGAGCAGGGTCAAGGGGAGGAGAAAGAGCAGGATTAGGGGGAGGAAGGAGCAGGGTTAGGGGGAGGAAGGAGCAGGGTTAGGGGGAGGAGAAGGAGCAGGGTTAGGGGGAGGAGAAGGAGCAGGGTCAAGGGGAGGAGAAGGAGCAGGGTCAAGGGGAGGAGAAAGAGAAGGGTTAGGGGGAGGAGAAGGAGCAGGGTTAGGGGGAGGAGAAGGAGCAGGATTAGGGGGAGGAAGGAGCAGGGTTAGGGGGAGGAGAAGGAGCAGGGTCAAGGGGAGGAGAAGGAGCAGGGTTAGGGGGAGGAGGAGGTGCAGGGTTAAACAAGGAGAAGGAGCAGGGTTAGGGGGAGGAGAAGGAGCAGGGTTAGGGGGAGGAGAAGGAGCAGGGTTAGGGGGAGGAGGAGGTGCAGGGGTTAAACGAGGAGAAGGAGCAGGGTCAAGGGGAGGAGAAGGAGCAGGGTTAGGGGGAGGAGAAGGAGCAGGGTTAGGGGGAGGAGAAGGAGCAGGGTTAGGGGGAGGAGAAGGAGCAGGATTAGGGGGAGGAAGGAGCAGGGTTAGGGGGAGGAGAAGGAGCAGGGTCAAGGGGAGGAGAAGGAGCAGGGTTAGGGGGAGGAGGAGGTGCAGGGTTAAACAAGGAGAAGGAGCAGGGTTAGGGGGAGGAGAAAGAGCAGGGTTAGGGGGAGGAGAAGGAGCAGGGTTAGGGGGAGGAGAAGGAGCAGGATTAGGGGGAGGAAGGAGCAGGGTTAGGGGGAGGAGAAGGAGCAGGGTCAAGGGGAGGAGAAGGAGCAGGGTTAGGGGGAGGAGGAGGTGCAGGGTTAAACAAGGAGAAGGAGCAGGGTTAGGGGGAGGAGAAGGAGCAGGGTTAGGGGGAGGAGGAGGTGCAGGGTTAGGGGGAGGAGAAGGAGCAGGGTTAGGGGGAGGAGAAGCAGCAGGGTTAGGGGGAGGAGAAGGAGCAGGGTTAGGGGGAGGAGAAAGAGCAGGGTTAGGGGGAGGAGAAGGAGCAGGGTTAGGGGGAGGAGGAGGTGCAGGGTTAAACAAGGAGAAAGAGCAGGGTTAGGGGGAGGAGAAGGAGCAGGGTTAGGGGGAGGAGGAGGTGCAGGGTTAAACAAGGAGAAGGAGCAGGGTTAGGGGGAGGAGAAGGAGCAGGGTTAGGGGGAGGAGAAGCAGCAGGGTTAGGGGGAGGAGAAGGAGCAGGGTTAGGGGGAGGAGAAGCAGCAGGGTTAGGGGGAGGAGAAGGAGCAGGGTTAGGGGGAGGAGAAGGAGCAGGGTTAGGGGGAGGAGAAGGAGCAGGGTTAGGGGGAGGAGAAGCAGCAGGGTTAGGGGGGAGGAGAAGGAGCAGGGTTAGGGGGAGGAGAAGGAGCAGGGTTAGGGGGAGGAGAAGCAGCAGGGTTAGGGGGAGGAGAAGGAGCAGGGTTAGGGGGAGGAGAAGGAGCAGGGTTAGGGGGAGGAGGAGGAGCAGGGTCAAGGGGAGGAGAAGGAGCAGGGTTAGGGGGAGGAGAAGGAGCAGGGTTAGGGGGAGGAGGAGGTGCAGGGGGAGGAGGCATTTACCTCGGGGCCTCTGCTTCTCCGCATCATAGATCATGACGACCTCAGTGACCTGAGAACAAGGAAAACGGTGAGACATGAAGCAGCTCTCACTGTCCAGGGCAGCCAATCACAGAGCTCTGCCAGCCTCAGCCAATCACAGAGCTCTGCCAGTCTCAGCCAATCACAGAGCTCTGCCAGCCTCAGCCAATCACAGAGCTCTGCCAGTCTCAGCCAATCACAGAGCTCGGCCAGTCTCAGCCAATCACAGAGCTCGGCCAGTCTCAGCCAATCACAGAGCTCGGCCAGTCTCAGCCAATCACAGAGCTCGGCCAGTCTCAGCCAATCACAGAGCTCGGCCAGTCTCAGCCAATCACAGAGCTCGGCCAGTCTCAGCCAATCACAGAGCTCTGCCAGTCTCAGCCAATCACAGAGCTCGGCCAGTTTCAGCCAATCACAGAGCTCGGCCAGTCTCAGCCAATCACAGAGCTCTGCCAGCCTCTTGCCAACCCTTCCTAGCACCTCCTCAAGCTCCTGCTCTGGCTCCTGCTCTGGCTCCTGCTCTGGCTCCTGCTCTGGCTCCTGCTCTGGCTCCTGCTCTAGGCTCCTGCGCTGGCTCCTGCTCTGGCTCCTGCTCTGGCTCCTGCTCTGGCTCCTGCTCTGGCTCCTGCTCTGGCTCCTGCTCTAGGCTCCTGCGCTGGCTCCTGCTCTGGCTCCTGCTCTGGCTCCTGCTCTGGCTCCTGCTCTGGCTCCTGCTCTGGCTCCTCCTCTGGCTCTGGCTCCTGCTCTGGCTCCTCCTCTGGCTCTGGCTCCTGCTCTGGCTCCTCCTCTGGCTCTGTCTCCTGCTCTGGCTCCTCCTCTGGCTCTGGCTCCTGCTCTGGCTCCTGCTCTGGCTCTGGCTCCTGCTCTGGCTCCTCCTCTGGCTCTGGCTCCTGCTCTGGCTCCTCCTCTGGCTCTGGCTCCTGCTCTGGCTCCTCCTCTGGCTCTGGCTCCTGCACGGGGCTGTTGCCGCCTTCATTCATTCATTTTGTTGCCTGTGTTGGTGTCCGTTAATGACCAGGAAGTACCATGTGTGATTTGTTGATATGTCTGTGTTTATACTTAACAGACTTTACTGGTGTTTTCTTAAGTCACAATGTATCATTTGTGATGTGATGTACCTACTTAAAGTATGTGTTCTAATGTCAAATGTTTGGTTTTGCTGCTAACATATAGTTCAAAGTTCATTCTATTGCTAGTTTATTATTAGTTACATCCATTGTGCAGCTGACAATCTGCCGCTGCGTCTTGTGTCAAAATTAAAGGGCATGTCTGTAACTTTTCAGGAGCAGCCAATTAAGTGCTGTATTTTTCAAATATTGTGTTATAGACCCAATTTATAGCTGTTATGATTATTTATATTTGATTATAACCTGTAAATAAGCCACGACAGAAAATCTTTCCTTACTGTAGTCTCCTCAAACCAGCATATTTTCCTTGCGCCTCCACTTCACTAAGACTGTGTTTTCATTCATTCAGCTGTGATTTGCACTGATAAACAATAATCAATGCATTTAAAAATTCAACAATAATTAAATTAACTTGATCAAATTTACATTTCTGTTTCACAAGTAATATTGGTGTATTTGGCCCGCAGCCCACTGGCAAATTTTCACTTTGGCCCTTGGAAGCAAAATGTTTAGACAACCCTGCTCTAGACACACACTCTCACAGACACACACACACACACTCATATACACACACACACACACACTCTCACAGACGCACACACACACTCTCATACACACAGACACACACACACTCACCACTCCGAATCTGTTGAAATAGTCCCTGAGTTCCTGTTCTCCGCAGTTGTGGGGGATTCCACCGACAAAGACCTTCTTGGACTTGTTGCTGTCGGCTTTACCTCCCTTCTGAAAAAGACCAGTGGACCAATCAGGGACCAGGCTCTGTGGACCAATCAGGAACCAGGCAGCTCTATGGACCAATCAGGGACCAGGCTCTGTGGCCCAATCAGGAACTAGGATCTGTGGACCAATCAGGGACCAGGCTCTGTGGACCTAGGAGACATTGTAGGAGACAGAGGTGTAGGAGACAGAGGTGTAGGAGACAGAGGTGTAGGAGACAGAGGTGTAGGAGACAGAGGTGTAGGAGACAGAGGTGTAGGAGACAGAGGCGTAGGAGACAGAGGTGTAGGAGACAGAGGCGTAGGAGACATTGCAGGAGACCGGTGTAGGAGACAGAGGTGTAGGAGACATTGTAGGAGACGTAGGAGACAGAGGCGTAGGAGACAGAAGTGTAGGAGACATTGCAGGAGACAGGTGTAGGAGACATTGCAGGAGACAGGTGTAGGAGACAGAGGCGTAGGAGACAGAGGTGTAGGAGACAGAAGCGTAGGAGACATTGCAGGAGACAGGTGTAGGAGACAGAGGCGTAGGAGACAGGTGTAGGAGACAGAGGCGTAGGAGACATTGCAGGAGACAGGTGTAGGAGACAGAGGCGTAGGAGACAGAGGTGTAGGAGACAGAAGTGTAGGAGACAGAGGCGTAGGAGACATTGCAGGAGACAGGTGTAGGAGACATTGCAGGAGACAGGTGTAGGAGACAGAAGCGTAGGAGACATTGCAGGAGACAGGTGTAAGAGACATTGCAGGAGACAGGTGTAGGAGACAGAGGCGTAGGAGACAGAGGTGTAGGAGACAGAAGCGTAGGAGACATTGCAGGAGACAGGTGTAGGAGACAGAGGCGTAGGAGACAGGTGTAGGAGACATTGCAGGAGACAGGTGTAGGAGACATTGCAGGAGACAGGTGTAGGAGACAGAAGCGTAGGAGACATTGCAGGAGACAGGTGTAAGAGACATTGCAGGAGACAGGTGTAGGAGACATTGTAGGAGACAGAGGTGTAGGAGACATTGTAGGAGACAGAGGTGTAGGAGACAGAGGCGTAGGAGACAGAGGTGTAGGAGACATTGTAGGAGACAGAGGTGTAGGAGACAGAGGTGTAGGAGACATTGTAGGAGACAGAGGTGTAGGAGACAGAGGTGTAGGAGACAGAGGTGTAGGAGACATAGGTGTAGGAGACAGAGGTGTAGGAGACAGAGGCGTAGGAGACAGAGGTGTAGGAGACAGAGGCGTAGGAGACAGAGGTGTAGGAGACAGAGGTGTAGGAGACAGAGGTGTAGGAGACATAGGTGTAGGAGACAGAGGTGTAGGAGACAGAGGTGTAGGAGACATTGTAGGAGACAGAGGTGTAGGAGACATTGTAGGAGACATTGTAGGAGACAGAGGTGTAGGAGACATTGTAGGAGACAGAGGTGTAGGAGACAGAGGTGTAGGAGACATTGTAGGAGACATTGTAGGAGACAGAGGTGTAGGAGACAGAGGTGTAGGAGACATTGTAGGAGACATTGTAGTGGAGACAGAGGTGTAGGAGACATTGTAGGAGACAGAGGTGTAGGAGACATTGTAGGAGACATTGTAGGAGACAGAGGTGTAGGAGACAGAGGTGTAGGAGACATTGTAGGAGACATTGTAGGAGACAGAGGTGTAGGAGACAGAGGTGTAGGAGACATTGTAGGAGACATTGTAGGAGACAGAGGTGTAGGAGACAGAGGTGTAGGAGACATTGTAGGAGACAGAGGTGTAGGAGACATTGTAGGAGACAGAGGTGTAGGAGACAGAGGTGTAGGAGACATTGTAGGAGACATTGTAGGAGACAGAGGTGTAGGAGACAGAGGTGTAGGAGACAGAGGTGTAGGAGACAGAGGTGTAGGAGACAGAGGTGTAGGAGACAGAGGTGTAGGAGACAGAGGTGTAGGAGACAGAGGTGTAGGAGACAGAGGTGTAGGAGACAGAGGTGTAGGAGACAGAGGTGTAGGAGACAGAGGTGTAGGAGACAGAGGTGTAGGAGACAGACATTGACCCAGATGCAAATGTGGTGTAACTCAGACTTTGTGAAACTGGAGCAAATTTGCAATTGTCCAAAATGTAACTTGAGTTAGTTTTAAAGTCACAGACCCCAGCTTTAAAGTGACTGTGATGCAGGTCGGCCGTGAGCAGGAGTGCTGCTAAAAGCAAATAAAAACACAAACAGGTTGCTGTGGTCCACATATGTTGACTCTTTTTGTTTTTCAATAAAATTACAAACGGAAAGGTGTAATAGGAAAATAAAGTGCTTGTTCTCCAGCAGCAAAGCTCAGACTGAGGTTTTCTGCGTCCTTTTATCTGGTGCAGCCGGGTAAAACAGAGATGTTAAAATATACTTAGCTTTTATAAAACAAGTTAAAACTCCATTTACAAAACCCAAACCCATAAATTATCTTAAAAAACCCACATACCATTCATTTAAAATCCTAAAACCAATTTCCCTGTGATCCTGTGGCCCGGAACCATAAAAGGGAAGCTCGTTCCTCGTGGAACCCTTTTGCCTACTGGACACAGAAGAGGTAAGTCCCATGGATCTATGGCTGTGTCCAAAACGGTAGGCATCGGGCCGCGTAGGGTGGATATGTAGGCATCGAGGGAAGGCCGCGTAGCCACAGGCGAGGTAGGAGGCGAGACGTGATGTGGATTTGGACAGCAGCTGCCTTCTGCCTTCGTCACGTGACTACACAACTCAGAGCGGAGCGGAAGGACACGGCGGCCATGATGGACGGTAAAAAGTTCTAAATACGCTTTAATTAGGACATAAAAGTTCATTCTAATATCATTTGAGGCGAGAAATATCCCCCTCTATTGTCATATCAGGGGTCTGTTTGGAGATAAATTCAAAAATTTTCGGACTTTACCTCCAGCCTGAAGCTCCGGTGCTATAAGCTAACAGCCCAGTTAGCTGCAGTGCTGAAGCCCAGAACAGGCTGTCTAAACACGGGTTCAGGTAATGAGAGCCCCCTGGATGTTTACAATCGTATTCTGAAAAAACAGAGGATGCTTTTGTTGCTACACTTTCTCTGTTATAACAATTGTATTGGCAGTAATCATTAGTTTTTACAAAGTTATATTTTATGTAAACAATGCACATATATGCAATAAATGATTATTAGATATGGATTATATATTTGCTATGGCCCTCGTTTGTGCATCACTTAAAAGTAATTTTATCAGAACTAAATGTATTAACGTGTGTTTGCTGATGAGAGAGAAACATCAATTTATCTATAATAATAACTGACACATCCATTTATCTATAATAATAACTGACACATCCATGGATCTATAATAATAACTGACACATCCATGGATCTATAATAATAACTGACACATCCATTTATCTATAATAATAACTGACACATCCATTTATCTATAATAATAACTGACACATCCATTTATCTATAATAATAACTGACACATCCATGGATCTATAATAATAACTGACACATCCATGGATCTATAATAATAACTGACACATCCATGGATCTATAATAATAACTGACACATCCATGGATCTATAATAATAACTGACACATCCATGGATCTATAATAATAACTGACACATCCATGGATCTATAATAATAACTGACACATCCATTTATCTATAATAATAACTGACACATCCATGGATCTATAATAATAACTGACACATCCATGGATCTATAATAATAACTGACACATCCATTTATCTATAATAATAACTGACACATCCATTTATCTATAATAATAACTGACACATCCATTTATCTATAATAATAACTGACACATCCATGGATCTATAATAATAACTGACACATCCATTTATCTATAATAATAACTGACACATCCATGGATCTATAATAATAACTGACACATCCATGGATCTATAATAATAACTGACACATCCATGGATCTATAATAATAACTGACACATCCATGGATCTATAATAATAACTGACACATCCATTGATCTATAATAATAACTGACACATCCATGGATCTATAATAATAACTGACACATCCATGGATCTATAATAATAACTGACACATCCATGGATCTATAATAATAACTGACACATCCATTTATCTATAATAATAACTGACACATCCATGGATCTATAATAATAACTGACACATCCATGGATCTATAATAATAACTGACACATCCATTTATCTATAATAATAACTGACACATCCATTTATCTATAATAATAATAATAACTGACACATCCATATAATAATCTGACACATCCATAATAATAACTGACACATCCATTTATCTATAATAATAACTGACACATCCATGGATCTATAATAATAACTGACACATCCATGGATCTATAATAATAACTGACACATCCATTTATCTATAATAATAACTGACACATCCATGGATCTATAATAATAACTGACACATCCATTTATCTATAATAATAACTGACACATCCATGGATCTATAATAATAACTGACACATCCATGGATCTATAATAATAACTGACACATCCATGGATCTATAATAATAACTGACACATGCATTTATCTATAATAATAACTGACACATCCATGGGTCTATAATAATAACTGACACATCCATGGATCTATAATAATAACTGACACATCCATGGATCTATAATAATAACTGACACGTCCATGGATCTATAATAATAACTGACACATCCATGGATCTATAATAATAACTGACACATCCATGGATCTATAATAATAACTGACACATCCATGGATCTATAATAATAACTGACACATCCATGGATCTATAATAATAACTGACACATCCATGGATCTATAATAATAACTGACACATCCATGGATCTATAATAATAACTGACACATGCATTTATCTATAATAATAACTGACACATCCATGGGTCTATAATAATAACTGACACATCCATGGATCTATAATAATAACTGACACATCCATGGATCTATAATAATAACTGACACGTCCATGGATCTATAATAATAACTGACACATCCATGGATCTATAATAATAACTGACACATCCATGGATCTATAATAATAACTGACACATCCATGGATCTATAATAATAACTGACACATCCATGGATCTATAATAAATAACTGACACATCCATGGATCTATAATAATAACTGACACATCCATGGATCTATAATAATAACTGACACATCCATGGATCTATAATAATAACTGACACATGGAAACATTAACAGACATCTGTAAAATGAAGTTGAACACAGATGTTTGACACTGCTCTTATTCACTTTTATATCTCTAATCTCTCTATCTAATCTAATCACATTTGAGTTTAATGTATTCAATTATAAGTATAAGTATAAGTACTGCTGACAAATATGTAGTTGTGTAAATAATACCTCACTTTGATGACTCTTTACATTTCACACAAACAACAAAATCATAATAAAACAAGTTTGATTTGTTTTCTTTATTTCCAGGTTCCTCTGAAGTGCTGTCGATGAGACCTGTGTCAGAGACAGACGCCCAGGACTCTGCTGCTGCTCCTGCTCCTGCTGCTGCTCCTGCTGCTGCTCCTGCTGCTGTTGCTCCTGCTGCTGCTGCTACTGCTGCTGCTGCTGCTGCTGCTGCTGCTGCTGCTGCTGCTGCCTGCTGCTCCTGCTGCTGCTGCTGCTCCTGCTGCTGCTGCTGCTGCTGCTGCTGCTGCTGCTGCTGTTGCTGCTGCTGCTGCTGCTGCTGCTGCTGCTGCTGCTGCTGCTGCTGCGCTGCTGCTGCTGCTGCTGCTCCTGCTGCTGCTGCTGCTCCTGCTGCTGCTGCTGCTGCTGCTGCTGCTGCTGCTACTGCTGCTGCTACTGTTACTCCTGTTGCTCCTTCTGCTGCTGCTGTTACTCCTCCTGTTGCTCCTTCTGCTGCTGCTGTTACTCCTCCTGTTGCTCCCTCTGCTGCTGCTGTTACTCCTCCTGTTGCTCCTTCTGCTGCAGCTGTTACTCCTCCTGTTGCTCCTTCTGCTGCTGCTGTTACTCCTCCTGTTGCTCCCTCTGCTGCAGCTGTTACTCCTCCTGTTGCTCCTTCTGCTGCAGCTGTTACTCCTCCTGTTGCTCCTTCTGCTGCTGCTGCTCCTGCTGCTGCTCCTGCTGCTGCTGCTGCTACTGCTGCTGCTACTGTTACTCCTGTTGCTCCTTCTGCTGCTGCTGTTACTCCTCCTGTTGCTCCTTCTGCTGCTGCTGTTACTCCTCCTGTTGCTCCCTCTGCTGCTGCTGTTACTCCTCCTGTTGCTCCTTCTGCTGCAGCTGTTACTCCTCCTGTTGCTCCTTCTGCTGCTGCTGTTACTCCTCCTGTTGCTCCTTCTGCTGCAGCTGTTACTCCTCCTGTTGCTCCTTCTGCTGCTGCTGTTACTCCTGTTGCTCCTTCTGCTGCTGCTGTTACTCCTCCTGTTGCTCCCTCTGCTGCAGCTGTTACTCCTCCTGTTGCTCCTTCTGCTGCAGCTGTTACTCCTCCTGTTGCTCCCTCTGCTGCAGCTGTTACTCCTCCTGTTGCTCCTTCTGCTGCAGCTGTTACTCCTCCTGTTGCTCCTTCTGCTGCAGCTGTTACTCCTCCTGTTACTCCTCCTGTTGCTCCTTCTGCTGCTGCTCCTTCTGCTACATGTCTTGATGCAGAGCCCACTGTTCTAACTATTCATGATTGCTGATTAAAGGAAAATATTATATACAAGTTTGTTGTAGTTCATAATGTGGTGATGAGGTGATGGAGGTGAAGCAGGAGGTGATGGAGGTGAAGCAGGAGGTGATGGAGGTGAAGCAGGAGGTGATGGAGGTGAAGCAGGAGAAATTATGACCTTAATTTCACCACAAGTCTCTGAAAAAGAAGAACACAAACATCATGCATTAAAACACAGCCCACATTTAGGATTCTTTTTACACTTCATATTCAATTAATACTATTTATTTGGGGCTTTGCAAAAAACTGGTCAAAAATAAAATACAGAAATCCTTACAGTATTTAATATTAGAGATACAAGCTTCACAGCAGGGGAAACAGAAGAATGATATGATAGAAATATACACAAATAATCAAGTTAGAAGCATGGCTAACCACTTTAAACCTGTGTTTGTGGAAGTGGGACTTTGTCCTCTGCAAATTTCTTATTAATGACAAACCAAACCTCTGTATAATGTGTGTTTACTATTTATTAGACTATTGTATGAAAAGGGCTTTATAATTATTCTTGGCCTATTCTTTCATTTCATATGTCTAATATATACAGTTTTCCCAGTCTCAGTGTGGGATTAAAAACGATATGCACAATCTATTTTATATGAATACAGAAAACATGTGTTAGCATACTATAGCTGCTGTGCTGCAGAGTGATTTTCCATGAAAACGTGACTATTTCCTCAGTGTAGCTTTAATATTTAATCAGTGGGTTTGTTTCTCCCTAAAAGATAAAACACATGATTTTTCTTGTTCAAAAACCGAATCTGAATGAACTAGCCTCGTAGCATTAGCTTTTCGGGACTGAGCTTATTTACAGCAGATAACAAGGTTAAATACACACATCTGTGGCAGATCTAATTTATGTCTGTGTTTTATCATAACAGTCGTGTTCATAACTCAACAGTAAAGTATAGCAGTACTTACTATAGACATAACTTCACAGTAAAGTATAGCAGTGCTTACTATAGACATAACTTCACAGTAAAGTATAGCAGTACTTACTATAGACATAACTTCACAGTAAAGTATAGCAGTACTTACTATAGACATAACTTCACAGTAAAGTATAGCAGTGCTTACCATAATGTTAGCTCCAGCAGCTCCGAGCTGTTGTTTACATGTTAATGCTGAACGGAGTTCTGCGCATGCGCGGCCGTGACTTGGCAAAAAGAAGGCAGTGAAGCATACATCAGATGCATCCTTCATATCTGCTCCAAAAGTGGCCGTTTCCATAGAGACGAAGTCATGATGCCTACGCTTGGCGAGCTCGCCAAGTGGTTTTGGACACCCCTGCAATAGCCGTCGCTTGCGGAAGTGACGTCACGATGCCTACATATCCACCCTACGCGGCCTGATGCCTACCGTTTTGGACACAGCCCAAAACAATATCTGGATTTAGTATTACAGTTTATAGCTGTCCCTACCATGGCCACTGGGGGCGCCGTGGTACTGCAGACTAAACTCACGTTACCCAGAAACATTTCCATAGAATTCAGTGTAAACTAAAACAGACCTCAGCTGAGTACCCTGACAGAGAACTTACAGAGAACCTGACAGAGAACCTGACAGAGAACCTGACAGAGAACCTGACAGAGAACCTGACAGAGAACCTGACAGAGAACCTGACAGAGAACCTGACAGAGAACCTGACAGAGAACCTGACAGAGAACCTGACAGAGAACCTGACAGAGAACCTGACAGAGAACCTGACAGAGAACCTGACAGAGAACCTACAGAGAACCTGACAGAGAACCTGACAGAGAACCTGACAGAGAATCTGACAGAGAACCTGACAGAGAACTTACAGAGAACCTGACAGAGAACCTGACAGAGAACCTGACAGAGAACCTGACAGAGAACCTGACAGAGAACCTGACAGAGAACCTGACAGAGAACCTGACAGAGAATCTGACAGAGAACCTGACAGAGAACCTACAGAGAACCTGACAGAGAACCTGACAGAGAACCTGACAGAGAACCTGACAGAGAACTTACAGAGAACCTGACAGAGAACCTGACAGAGAACCTGACAGAGAACCTGACAGAGAACCTGACAGAGAACCTACAGAGATCCTGACAGAGAACCTACAGAGAACCTGACAGAGAACCTGACAGAGAACCTACAAAGATCCTGACAGAACCTACAGAGAACCTACTGAGAACCTGACAGAGAACCTACAGAGATCTTGACAGAACCTACAGAGATCCTGACAGAGAACCTACAGAGAACCTGACAGAGAACCTACAGAGATCCTGACAGAGAACCTACAGAGATCCTACAGAGATCCTGACAGAGAACCTACAGAGAACCTAACAGAGAACCTGACAGAGAACCTACAGAGAACCTGACAGAGAACCTGACAGAGAACTTACAGAGAACCTGACAGAGAACCTACAGAGAACCTGACAGAGAACCTACAGAGAACCTGACAGAAAACCTACAGAGATCCTGACAGAGAACTTACAGAGAACCTACAGAAAACCTGACAGAGAACCTGACAGAGAACTTACAGAGATCCTGACAGAGAACCTGACAGAGAACCTGACAGAGAACCTGACAGAGAACCTGACAGAGAACCTACAGAGAACCTGACAGAGAACCTACAGAGAACCTGACAGAGAACCTGACAGAGAACCTGACAGAGAACCTGACAGAGAACCTACAGAGAACCTGACAGAGAACCTACAGAGAACCTGACAGAGAACCTGACAGAGAACTTACAGAGAACCTGACAGAGAACCTGACAGAGAACCTGACAGAGAACCTACAGAGAACCTGACAGAGAACCTACAGAGAACCTGACAGAGAACCTGACAGAGAACTTACAGAGAACCTGACAGAGAACCTGACAGAGAACTTACAGAGAACCTGACAGAGAACCTGACAGAGAACTTACAGAGAACCTGACAGAGAACCTGACAGAGAACCTGACAGAGAACCTACAGAGAACCTGACAGAGAACCTGACAGAGAACCTACAGAGAACCTGACAGAGAACCTACAGAGAACCTGACAGAGAACCTACAGAGAACCTGACTGAGAACCTGACAGAGAACCTGACAGAGAACTTACAAAGAACCTGACAGAGAACCTACAGAGAACCTGACAGAGAACCTACAGAGATCCTGACAGAAAACCTACAGAGATCCTGACAGAGAACTTACAGAGATCCTGACAGAGAACCTGACAGAGAACCTACAGAGATCCTGACAGAGAACCTACAGAGATCCTGACAGAGAACCTGACAGAGAACCTGACAGAGAACTTACAAAGAACCTGACAGAGAACCTACAGAGAACCTGACAGAGAACCTACAGAGATCCTGACAGAAAACCTACAGAGATCCTGACAGAGAACTTACAGAGATCCTGACAGAGAACCTGACAGAGAACCTACAGAGATCCTGACAGAGAACCTGACAGAGAACTTACAGAGAACCTGACAGAGAACCTACAGAGAACCTGACAGAGAACTTACAGAGATCCTGACAGAGAACCTGACAGAGAACCTGACAGAGAACTTACAAAGAACCTGACAGAGAACCTACAGAGAACCTGACAGAGAACCTGACAGAGAACCTGACAGAGAACCTACAAAGAACCTGACAGAGAACCTACAGAGATCCTGACAGAGAACCTGACAGAGAACCTGACAGAGAACTTACAAAGAACCTGACAGAGAACCTACAGAGAACCTGACAGAGAACCTACAGAGATCCTGACAGAAAACCTACAGAGATCCTGACAGAGAACTTACAGAGATCCTGACAGAGAACCTGACAGAGAACCTACAGAGATCCTGACAGAGAACCTGACAGAGAACCTGACAGAGAACTTACAGAGAACCTGACAGAGAACCTACAGAGAACCTGACAGAGAACTTACAGAGATCCTGACAGAGAACCTGACAGAGAACCTGACAGAGAACTTACAAAGAACCTGACAGAGAACCTACAGAGAACCTGACAGAGAACCTGACAGAGAACCTGACAGAGAACCTACAAAGAACCTGACAGAGAACCTACAGAGAACCTACAGCTTTCATAAAGATAGGATTGTGTGTGGATGTTAGTGTCCCTTGTCGTCCTGAACTTTTTTTCTTCTTAAATCCATCAGTTTTCTTTAAATCCACACTTTACTGCTACAAACTCTGCTCCTTTCCTCCTCTGCTCTGATTGGTCAGAACGCTGCCCTCGGATTGGTCAGAACGCTGCCCTCGGATTGGTCAGAACGCTGCCCTCTGTGCACGTGCATGAGAGCCACCACACACGCGTGTTTGGTGCAAAGCATCATGGGAGCTCATCCACTGTACAGAACCAGGAGGACCAGACGATGTAAGACTAACACATTCTTAAACAATAACCCAAACCCTCTGTTTAGAAACCTGCCACCTGTTTCAGGCGGTGGCTGAGTGGTTAGCCCTCTCGCTTCTCAGCAAGAAGCTTCTGGGTATGAATACCGGTCGGAACAGGGCCTTTCTGAGTGGAGTTTGCATGTTCTCCTCGTGTCTGCGTAGGTTTCCTCCGGGTACTCCGGTTTCCCCTACCACTAAAAACATGTACAATAATTCAAGTGAGTGAGTGTGTGTTTGTGAGTGCAATGCTAAAGAGCCCAAGGTACGATCGGCAGTGATGTGTTCATTAACATGTACTGTCCCAACAGAATAAACCACAAATAAAAATTAAATAAAAGCAGAAGGAGGAGCAAAAGGAGGAGCAGAAGGAGGAGCAGTCTTACCCAGCCCTCTTTGGTGCGGGTCTTCTCCGGCTGCATTCCTCTCGGAGTGCAGGGCTTTGGGTCAATCTGCAGCAGAAAGAGCTCCAAGTTAGACACACACGGAGGAGGAGGAGAGGTGAGGAGGAGGTGGTGAGGAGGAGGTGGTGAGGAGGTTATGAGGACGCGGTGAGGAGGCAGTGGTGTGGAGGAGGAGAGGTGAGGAGGAGGTGATGAGGAGGTGGCGGTGAGGAGGCAGTGGTGTGGAGGAGGAGAGGTGAGGAGGAGGTGGTGAGGAGGAGGTGATGAGGTGGTGGTGAGGAGGAGACTCCACAGTGTGAGAATGTGAGTTAGAGTGTGTGTGTGAGTTAGAGTGCGTGACCCTAACACACACACTCTAACTCACACACACTAACACACACACTCCACAGTGTGATAGGGTCACACACTCTAACACACACTAACACACACTCACACACTCTAACACAGTGCGATATATAAATAAATACTGACGTTGCGTCCGTCCAGGCAGTGGGGCTTGGTGTCCAGGACGCCGCGGACACAGTTTGGGTCTTTGAACTTGACGAACCCAAAGCCACGGGACTGGTTTGAGGTCTTGTCCTTCATGATGACACAGTCCACCACCTCTCCGTACTGACAGAAGTAGTTCCTGAGGGTTTCTGCACGAGCAAAACACCAACACAGAGCTTTGAGGCACCACTGTGCACGAGCCATGCATACAGACTACTGGTATTAGAGGGGTCTCTCTCTCTCTGGTCTCTCTCTCTCTCTCTCTCTCTGGCCTCTCTCTCTCTCTCTCTGGCCTCTCTCTCTCTGGCCTCTCTCTCGCTGGCCTCTCCCTCTCTCGCTGGCCTCTCTCTCTCGCTGGCCTCTCTCTCTCGCTGGCCTCTCTCTCGCTGGCCTCTCTCTCTCTCGCTGGCCTCTCTCTCTCTCGCTGGCCTCTCTCTCTCTGGCCTCTCTCTCGCTGGCCTCTCTCTCGCTGGCCTCTCTCTCTCGCTGGCCTCTCTCTCTCGCTGGCCTCTCTCTCTCGCTGGCCTCTCTCTCTCTCGCTGGCCTCTCTCTCTCTCGCTGGCCTCTCTCTCGCTGGCCTCTCTCTCTCTCGCGGGCCTCTCTCTCTCTGGCCTCTCTCTCTCTCTGGCCTCTCTCTCTTGCTGGTCTCTCTCTCTTGTTGGTCTCTCTCTCTTGTTGGTCTCTCTCTCTCTCGCTGGCCTCTCTCTCTCTTTCTGGTCTCTCTCGCTGGCCTCTCTCCCTCTTTCTGGTCTCTCTCTCGCTGGTCTCTCTCTCTCTCGCTGGTCTCTCTCTCTCTTGCTGGTCTCTCTCTCTCTTGCTGGTCTCTCTCTCTCTCGCTGGCCTCTCTCTCTCTTTCTGGTCTCTCTCTCTCTCGCTGGCCTCTCTCTCTCTCGCTGGCCTCTCTCTCTCTCGCTGGCCTCTCTCTCTTTTTCTGGTCTCTCTCTCTCTCGCGGGCCTCTCTCTCTCTGGCCTCTCTCTCTCTCTCTCTGGTCTCTCTCTCTCTCTCTCTGGTCTCTCTCTCTCTGGCCTCTCTCTCTCTGGCCTCTCTCTCTCTAGCCTCTCTCTCTCTCACTGGCCTCTCTCTCTCTCTCTGGTCTCTCTCTCTCTCTCTGGCCTCTCTCTCTCTCTCTGGCCTCTCTCTCTCTCTCTCTGGCCTCTCTCTCTCTCTCTGGCCTCTCTCTCTCTCTCTGGTCTCTCTCCCTCTCTCTGGCCTCTCTCTCTCTCTGGCCTCTCTCTCTCGCTGGCCTCTCTCTCTCTTGCTGGTCTCTCTCTCTCTGGCCTCTCTCTCTGGCCTCTCTCTCTCTGGCCTCTCTCTCTCACTGGTCTCTCTCTCTCTGGCCTCTCTCTCTCTCGCTGGCCTCTATCTCTCGCTGGCCTCTCTCTCTCGCTGGCCCCTCTCTCTCTCGCTGGCCCCTCTCTCTCTTGCTGGTCTCTCTCTCTCTGGCCTCTCTCTCTCTGGCCTCTCTCTCTGGCCTCTCTCTCTCGCTGGCCTCTCTCTCTGGCCTCTCTCTCTCTCTGGTCTCTCTCTCTCTCTGGCCTCTCTCTCTCTCTCTGGTCTCTCTCTCTCTCTCTGGTCTCTCTCTCTCTCTCTCTTGCTGGTCTCTCTCTCTCGCTGGCCTCTCTCTCTCTCGCTGGCCTCTCTCTCTCTCGCTGGCCTCTCTCTCTCTCGCTGGCCTCTCTCTCTCTCGCTGGCTCTCTCTCTCTCTGCTCTCTCTCTCTCTCTCTCTCTCGCTGGCCTCTCTCGCTGGCCTCTCTCTCTGGCCTCTCTCTCTCGCTGGCCTCTCTCTCTCGCTGGCCTCTCTCTCTCGCTGGCCTCTCTCTCTCTCTGGTCTCTCTCTCTCTCTGGTCTCTCTCTCTCTCTCTGGTCTCTCTCTCTCTCTCTCTTGCTGGTCTCTCTCTCTCGCTGGTCTCTCTCTCTCGCTGGCCTCTCTCTCTCTCGCTGGCCTCTCTCTCGCTGGCCTCTCTCTCTCTCGCTGGCCTCTCTCTCTCTTGCTGGTCTCTCTCTCTCGCTGGTCTCTCTCTCTCGCTGGCCTCTCTCGCTGGCCTCTCTCGCTGGCCTCTCTCTCTTGCTGGTCTCTCTCTTGTTGGTCTCTCTCTCTCTTTCTGGTCTCTCTCTCGCTGGTCTCTCTCCCTCTTTCTGGTCTCTCTCTCGCTGGTCTCTCTCTCTCTCGCTGGCCTCTCTCTCTCTTTCTGGTCTCTCTCTCTCTCGCTGGCCTCTCTCTCTTTTTCTGGTCGCTCTCTCGCTGGTCTCTTACCTTGAGTGGTACTCCAGTCCAAACCTCCAACAAAAAGTTTCCTGAAAAGAAAAACATGACAGATTCACACCCGCAGAGCACAGGGACGTGGCTGTGTACACACCAGCAGAGCACAGGGACGTGGCTGTGTACACACCAGCAGAGCACAGGGACGTGGCTGTGTACACACCAGCAGAGCACAGGGACGTGGCTGTGTACACACCAGCAGAGCACAGGGACGTGGCTGTGTACACACCAGCAGAGCACAGGGACATGAATGATGCTGTCTCTGTGTCGTCCATGGAAAAGTGTAGAGAGTACAGAGAACTGATGTAGAGCCACACAACTCACATGGTCTCTGTGTCAAATGTCTGTGTCAGATATACACTCACCGGCATGGATGCATGCATGCATGCATGCATGCATACATGCATACATGCATACATGCATACATGCATACATGCATACATGCATACATGCATACATGCATACATGCATGCATACATACATGCATGCATGCATGCATACATGCATACATGCATGCATACATACATACATACATACATACATACATACATACATACATACATACGAGAGAAGGGCTTCTTCGATGAAAAATATATACACAAGTGTCAAGGTAAGACATAACTTAGCAACTAGCGCTAACAGCTAAGTTAGCATTAGCTACGACACATTTAGCTTAAGCACACACATGAAACACTTACTTTTTTATAATAATAAAGCATTTGTTACATGTGTATGTTATAGACTTTCATATTATATAAGAACATGATTTGTTTGTGTATTGGTGAAAGTAATCATGCTAAATTTTAGTAAATAAAAGATGATGCTAGATGTACCTTAACCATTCAATTGTGCTTTGTTTCTGCTTCATTCTCAATTATTGTCGAGGGACAGTGGTTTGAGCTAGATGCTTCAGGCTTATGAAGAGAAACGAGGAGCCCTCAGACTGCCAGTTTCAAACAGTCAGAAAGACTGCAGGTTTGAAACAGTCAGAAAGACTGCAGGTTTCAAACAGTCAGAAAGACTGCAGGTTTCAAACAGTCAGAAAGACTGCAGGTTTCAAACAGTCAGAAAGACTGCAGGTTTCAAACAGTCAGAAAGACTGCAGGTTTCAAACAGTCAGAAAGACTGCAGGTTTCAAACAGTCAGAAAGACTGCAGGTTTGAAACAGTCAGAAAGACTGCAGGTTTGAAACAGTCAGAAAGACTGCAGGTTTGAAACAGTCAGAAAGACTGCAGGTTTGAAACAGTCAGAAAGACTGCAGGTTTGAAACAGTCAGAAAGACTGCAGGTTTGAAACAGTCAGAAAGACTGCAGGTTTGAAACAGTCAGAAAGACTGCAGGTGTGAAACAGTCAGAAAGACTGCAGGTGTGAAACAGTCAGAAAGACTGCAGGTTTGAAACAGTCAGAAAGACTGCAGGTTTGAAACAGTCAGAAAGACTGCAGGTTTGAAACAGTCAGAAAGACTGCAGGTTTGAAACAGTCAGAAAGACTGCAGGTTTCAAACAGTCAGAAAGACTGCAGGTTTCAAACAGTCAGAAAGACTGCAGGTTTCAAACAGTCAGAAAGACTGCAGGTTTCAAACAGTCAGAAAGACTGCAGGTTTCAAACAGTCAGAAAGACTGCAGGTTTCAAACAGTCAGAAAGACTGCAGGTTTGAAACAGTCAGAAAGACTGCAGGTGTGAAACAGTCAGAAAGACTGCAGGTGTGAAACAGTCAGAAAGACTGCAGGTTTCAAACAGTCAGAAAGACTGCAGGTTTCAAACAGTCAGAAAGACTGCAGGTTTCAAACAGTCAGAAAGACTGCAGGTTTCAAACAGTCAGAAAGACTGCAGGTTTCAAACAGTCAGAAAGACTGCAGGTTTCAAACAGTCAGAAAGACTGCAGGTTTGAAACAGTCAGAAAGACTGCAGGTGTGAAACAGTCAGAAAGACTGCAGGTTTGAAACAGTCAGAAAGACTGCAGGTTTCAAACAGTCAGAAAGACTGCAGGTTTCAAACAGTCAGAAAGACTGCAGGTTTCAAACAGTCAGAAAGACTGCAGGTTTCAAACAGTCAGAAAGACTGCAGGTTTGAAACAGTCAGAAAGACTGCAGGTTGAAACAGTCAGAAAGACTGCAGGTGTGAAACAGTCAGAAAGACTGCAGGTGTGAAACAGTCAGAAAGACTGCAGGTTTGAAACAGTCAGAAAGACTGCAGGTTTGAAACAGTCAGAAAGACTGCAGGTTTGAAACAGTCAGAAAGACTGCAGGTTTGAAACAGTCAGAAAGACTGCAGGTTTCAAACAGTCAGAAAGACTGCAGGTTTCAAACAGTCAGAAAGACTGCAGGTTTCAAACAGTCAGAAAGACTGCAGGTTTCAAACAGTCAGAAAGACTGCAGGTTTCAAACAGTCAGAAAGACTGCAGGTTTCAAACAGTCAGAAAGACTGCAGGTTTCAAACAGTCAGAAAGACTGCAGGTTTCAAACAGTCAGAAAGACTGCAGGTGTGAAACAGTCAGAAAGACTGCAGGTGTGAAACAGTCAGAAAGACTGCAGGTGTGAAACAGTCAGAAAGACTGCAGGTGTGAAACAGTCAGAAAGACTGCAGGTGTGAAACAGTCAGAAAGACTGCAGGTTTGAAACAGTCAGAAAGACTGCAGGTTTGAAACAGTCAGAAAGACTGCAGGTGTGAAACAGTCAGAAAGACTGCAGGTTTCAAACAGTCAGAAAGACTGCAGGTTTGAAACAGTCAGAAAGACTGCAGGTGTGAAACAGTCAGAAAGACTGCAGGTTTCAAACAGTCAGAAAGACTGCAGGTTTCAAACAGTCAGAAAGACTGCAGGTTTCAAACAGTCAGAAAGACTGCAGGTTTCAAACAGTCAGAAAGACTGCAGGTTTGAAACAGTCAGAAAGACTGCAGGTGTGAAACAGTCAGAAAGACTGCAGGTTTGAAACAGTCAGAAAG